CCTTCGCACTGTTGCCGGCGATGCGAGTCCGCCAGTGACGGCCGAACGGCAGAAGGTGCAGGAGTCTGCCGGGTGGCCGTCAGTGGCCGTCAAGTTGCCTCAGCAGGCGGCGGCGAGGGAATGTGAAGAGCATGGAAGGGTTGCGCAAGGGAAGGTTCTGGGAAGGTCGCTGCTGGAGCTGATCCACCAGGATGACGTCAGGAAAGTCAAGGTATGACAGATGAGTCGACTCAAAAGTCACCCCATAGCATTAAGAATGAGAGGTGGGTCAAGCCTATTTACTTCTGGCAGAAGTCACCTCATTATATCAGGAGCGTAGAGTGATGACAGGAAAATATGGGTATGAGCGGAGAGTGAAGGTGTCACAGCAGGGGTGTCAAGGCGTGAGCGTTTTGGTACCCGCCATCGCTTGAAAGCATGACTCTATGTGTGCTGCTTTGTTCTTGCAGCATGCGCTCTCCCACCCACATTCAGCCGCCGCAACAGCAACAGCAGCAGAAAGAGCAGGCGGAGCAACAGGAGCAGGAGCAGGAGCAGGAGCAGGAGCAGGAGCAGGAGCAGGAGCAGGAGCAGGAGCAGGAGCAGGAGGAGCACTCAGAGCAGCGCGGTGTGTGGACGTGCGGTTGATGCAGGGTGCAGGAGCACATGTGCCAGCAGCATGTGTAAAAGATGTAAGGGGCGGCACCAGTGACAACTGCAGCAGCATTAACAGCAGCAGCGGTGGTGGTTTCGGATGGTACGAGATGCGCGTGTGGCGCTTTGATAGTGCTGCTGCTGGGCTGCTGCATCCCGCAGAGGCGATGGGTGTGCTGGGGGAAGAAGAGATAGGGCGAGGGGGGAAGGACGGCGCAAGGTGGGCGGAAGAAGCGGAGAGGGGGAGGGGAAGAGCAGAGGAAGGCATGAATGGGTCAGCTGCGAGCTGTGATGCATGTGCATGCACTCATGGATTGATGGAGCACCATGCTGCGTGCGCATGCGCGTGTGCATCCGACCATGGGCACCGTGATGCATGTGCACGTGGTGACTCCTGGCTTCTCTGTCTCTTTCAAGATATCTCCACGAGAAAAACCTACGAGGTACGCCCCACCGCTCTCCACCACGTAGTTTCTCCCCATGGCTGACCACGTTCCCATACTCTGTCTCAGCTCCTCCGTCACATGCCTACTTGCATCTCTCTTCACCGCTCTCCACCACTCTCTCCTCAGCCGGTCCCCAGCACTTTCAGCACACGGCAGCGCATGAGGAGAGTTGGTGAGCTATCTTTCGCAGGTGAAGCCCCCAGAACGCCGTCCTTGTGAGTCAGCACAAAAACCACCACCCCTCTGCATTCCCCTGCACCCTTCTGCGTCCCTCATTACCCAACTCCACCCCTCCAGGCGCAGCTGCTGCAGCACGCGACGGCATGTGCGGAGCTGGCAACGAATCTGGCGCAGGTGAAGCCCCCCGACCCTGTCTCATGGGGGGACGCTGTTGAGAAACACTACGGCACCCGCCCCCCTTCCTCTCCCCATGCGCCCCCCCCGCATGCGCCCCCGTCCCATGCGCCCCCGCCCCATGCGCCCCCGCCCCATGCGCCCCCGCCGCATCCGCCCGCTGCTTCTGCTGCCCCTGCTGCTGGTGCTGGCCCGTCCCATCCGCCTGCTGCTGCTGCTGCTGCCGTGCCCCATGCCGCTACTGCTCCTGCTCCTGCCACTCACAATCCTGCTGCCACCCCTCCCAATGCTGCCAGCGCCGCCCCTCACCCCAGCCATCCCAGCCACCCCAGCCACCCTAGCTCCTCCAGGCTCCCCCCAGAGCACCTCACATGCGCCCATCACCCCAGCGCCCCCAGCGCCCGCACCGCACCCAACGCCCCCACAACCCCCAGCGCCCACACCCCCCCCAGCGCCCACACCCCCCCCAGCGCCCCCAGCGCCTACGCCGGCCCCAGCGCCCCCACAGCACCTGCTCCCCCGCCCCTCAAGCCTCCCCACCAGCACCGGCGCAGGCGGAGGGGGAGGCGGCGCACACAGGCAGTGGGGCGGCGGGCGGACGGTTATCCTGACCACTTCTGGCCCTCCTATCCCCCTGACGAGACTCCTCCCCCGCCCATGCCTGGTTTGGGCGCGGGTGGGGGAATACAGGGAGAGGAGGGGGAGGGGTGGGAGGAGATGGAGGAAGGGGAGGATGGGGAGGGGGAGGAGAGTGCGTTGGAGGAGGCGATGAGGGTGGTGGAGGAGATTAGGGCGACTCTTATGGAGTGCCAGGGCCATGCCAAGTTCCATGCCATCTACCAGCTCTCCATGGTGCGATGCCGTGCCATGCCATGCCATGACTTTGCCTTGCCATCCCTTGCATGTTGTGAGTTTTGAGTCGACTCAACAGTCAGGAGTGCCAGAGCCACGCCAAGTTCCATGCCATCTACCAGCTCTCCATGGTGTGTTTGTGCCCTCCCCAACACCACCACACGATTCCATGTGAACCCCTTATGCGCTCCCCTCAATGTGCCACCCCTCCTTCCCCTCTCCCTGCTGTCTCCAACTACCCAACCACCCCCATTCCCACGCACTCACCCTCCCTACCCCCCACCAGGAGCTCATCGAGTGCAACGACGCGGTGGTGCGGTTGATGCGCTTCCACAGCCGAGCAGACGCCCTGGCCAACTTCCGAGTGGCCAAGATGAGCCCCGAGTTCCAGCCCGATGGGCGGGCAGGTGTTGTTGTGCCCTCTCTGGTGCTCTCCACCCAAGTCCGACCTCAAATTTCTGCTTCCCTGCCCCACCTGCCCCACATTCCCCACTCTCCCACCCCCTTCCCTCGCCGTCCCACACCAGGAGCCCATCCTCGTCTTCTCCAGCACCATGGCGCTCATAGAATGCAACGACGCGGCGGTGCGGTTGATGCGCTTCCTGTCCCCCTGCTCCTTCCCATGTGCGCCTACCCGCGTCCCCTGGCCCCCCATCAGGAGCCCATCCTCGTCTTCTCCAGCACCATGGCGCTCATAGAGTGCAACGATGCAGCCGTGCGGTTGATGCGCTTCCACAGCCGAGCAGACGCCCTGGCCAACTTCCGAGTGGCCAAGATGAGCCCCGAGTTCCAGCCTGATGGGCGGCGGTCCCGGGAGGCCATTTTAGGCATGCACGGGCGGATGATGAGTGGCGAGGTGGTGGAGTTTGAGTGGTGCCACCTCACTGCTGATGGGCACCCCATGATGCTGCAGGTGGGTAGGTTGACAGCTGTTGTGCGCGCAGTTCTACGTACAGGTAGTATGATATGACGGGCCTTTGAGGCACCGACGCCCTGGCCAACGTCCGAGTGGCCAAGATGAGCCCCGATTTCCAGCCTGACGGGCGGCGGTCACGGGAGGGTATATGCATGGGCGGATGATGAGCGGCGAGGTGGTGGAGTTTGAGTGGTGCCACCTCACTGCGGATGGGCACCCCATGATGCTGCAGGTAGTGACACAGGGATGGATGTAAGAAAAGGGGTAGATGGGTGTTGAAGGGCATCCGACCATGCACCATTCTGGGCATGCATGGAAGGATGATGAGCGGCGAGGTGGTGGAGTTTGAGTGGTGCCACCTCACTGCTGACGGGCACCCCATGATGCTGCAGGTGGCTGGGTGGCTATTGTGTGCATGCAGTTCATTGTACAGGTAGTATGAGGGGCCCGCAGGTGAAGGTGAGGAGCTCATACATCTCTTCTTGTTACGCAGCGGTGCGCCTGATGCACTTGCGCATCTGTTTCTAAAGGGTTATACAAAACCTGTTCTGCTCTCCACCCACGCGCAGGTGAAGGTGAAGATCATAGAGATCGGCGGCGAGTCGTGCCTCTTAGCCGTGTGGCACGACCTCACCGAGTCGAAGCGCAAGGAGGAAGAGCTCCGAGCGGCCAAAGACGCGGCCGAGGCAGCGAGCGAGGCGAAGAACCGGTTCCTGGCGAACATGAGCCATGAGCTGCGCACCCCCATGAATGGCGTCATCGGCGTCGCCGAGCTGCTCCTCCGCACCCCCCTCACCCCGCAGCAGCGCTCCTACGTGGATGTCATCTCCTCCTCGGGCACGGCGCTCATTCATATTATATCTGACGTGCTGGATATCACCAAGATCGAGGCGCATGCGCTCGTGTTGGATCGCAATCCGTTTGATCTCCGGAGGACGCTGTCTCAGTGCCTTGCTGTTGTTCGCACCGCTGCTGACGGCAAGGGGCTCAAGGTGGGTTGTGGGAAGGGTGGAAAGCGGTGCAGTGCAGTGGAGGTGCTTGTGAGAGCTCTGGTGGGTGCATGAGTGGGTGTGCTGAGTGCTGGTGGTGTGTTGTGCTGCTGACGACAAACCTGATTCTGGAAGTTCCAGTTTCCTGGAGGCAACACCAGTACTGTCAACCAGAGGTTGTAATACTGTCAGGCTTTGAAACCAAAGGCACTCATGGCTTATCTTGCTTGCGTTTCAAATCCCCCATCTTCTCTTCTCTCCCTCCTTTCTCCCTCCCTTCCCCGTTTCCGAATTGTCTCCCCTTGGCTCTCTCACAGCTGCACAGCCGTGTGGGAGAGGGTGTGCCGGCGTGTGTGCTGGGAGATCAGTTCCGAGTGAGGCAGATCCTGCTCAACCTGCTCTCCAACGCCATCAAGTTCACCGACAGGTCAGTTAAGGGCTTACTGACAGACAGGTGGTGGAGTGTGGTTGATGGGTGAGAGTGTGTGGTTGGATGGGATGCGACGGATCCTCCTCAACCTGCTCTCCAACGCCATCAAGTTCACCGACAGGTGTGTTTTCTCAGTGGTGTGTTGTGGATGGGTGTGAGTGCGCAGCAGAAGGGAGTGTGAGGTGGATGGGTGTGAGTTTACGGTTAGAGGGAGAGTGAGTGAGAGTGTGGGCGGGTGTTTGGGTGGCGGGTGAGTGAGTGTGAGTGGGTATGTGTATGGTGGTGGTGGGTGAGTGGGACGTCTGCAGCATTTCAAAGCCCTAAGCCTGCTCTCTAATTGCTGCTTCCACCTTCGTCCCCTTCCTGTGTGCCCCCTGCAGGGGAGAGGTGGAGGTGCAAGTATACCTGCAGAGCAAGCCACACCTGCCCTCAGCACTGCCACCAGTCGAAGCTCCTTCTGCTCCGTCTGCTCCAGCTACCCACTGCTCTGCTGCTACTCATACTGTCGCTGCTACTCACAACCTCGTTGGTACTCACAACCCTGCTGCTGCAAGCCTGGTTGAGCCTCATTCAGAGAAGGGAGAGTCAAATAGCACATACGCACTCGAAGCGAGTTCCATAGAAGCACATTCAGTAGAAGCGCATTCACCAGATACGCAGCTGCTGAACAACGAATCTGGGCCGTCCAAAGCTGAGCCTGGGACCACTACTGGCCCTCCTCCTCCCGGCGCCGCCACCGCCGCCGCTGCTGCTGCTTGCTCTGAAGGAGCAGCGGGGGCAGAGGGCGAGCGAGCAGAGCGTGCACAAGTGGAGGCACAAGAGGAGGCAGCAGTGCTAGCAGCAGCGCCGCACACCCCACCACTGCACCCTCCGCTCCCAGGGCTGATTCCTGAGCCGCCTCCGAAACCGTTTGCAGTGCCGCACACACCGCCACTGCATCCCCCGCTTCCTGGGTCGTCCCTGTCATTCCCTGCAGCAGCAGCACAGATCCGCACGTGCCACTCTGCCACGCACCTGAGCGCTCTGGCCGAGGGTGTGAGCGAGGGCCCTTATCAGGCAGGTGAAAGGGTCTGTGAGGGGAAGCAAGGGGTGGTTTGTGAGCCGACTCAGAAGTCATGCCGGGCGGGTGAAGGGGGCTTTAAGGGATTGCAGACGGGTGTGCAGCAGGGGTCGGTGGGTAAAGCCCCTCCTGCCAAACGGGCCCGTGTGGGTGGGTGCCATGGGGGTGGGGGTCGTGGGTTGAGTGCTGGGGGTAGGGGGGAGCGCGGGAAGCTTGAGGGGGAAAGGGGAGGCCGGGAGGTCCAAACGGGAGAACAGGGTGGGGGAGGGGGAGGGCCAGGAGGAGGAGCCGGCAAAGAGAGTGGGGTGCGTCACGCACGCCAAGCCTCGTGGAATGCTCCCGGTGCTGTGCTGGCTCGGGCCGATGCTGCTGCCGACGCTGCCGTGGTGGCTGGGGGTGCTGTGTTGACTGGCTTGGGTGGTGGGACGGGGGTGAGTGAGGGGGAAGAGCTGGGCGGTGGGGCAGATAGAATAGTAGGGGGGCGCATGATTTATCCTGAAAAAGCCGTCAGAGTAGGAGCGAGGGAAGCAGGAACAAGGGAAATATTAACAGCAGCAGCAGCAGCAGCAGCATCAGCAGCAATAGGAGAAGCGAGCAGGGCGGCAACACAAGAGGCAGAGGGGAGAGAGGATGTGCAAGTGGGGACGAAGCAGAGGGACATGCAAAGGCAGGAGGAGGGGGGAGATCCCGCCAGAGCAGCTGCCGCAGGAGCATGCTCGCTAGCAGGCAGTGCAGGAGGAGCAGCTCCCTTGGATAGACCTGGACCCGAACAAAACGCCCTGCACTGCTCCCAGCAGCACCCACCGCAGGTGCAGCCGGCTTCAGAAGAGACACCAGGAGAGAGAGGAGCAGTGCAAGAAGAACCCGGAGAGGCGGGTGAAGCGGCGGTGTGGGTGCGGATAGATGTGAGAGACACGGGCGTGGGGATACCAGAGGATCAGCTGGGGAGGCTGTTCACGCCGTTCCGGCAGGTGGACGACTCGTCGTGCCGCAAGCACGGCGGCACGGGCCTGGGTCTCTCCATCTGTCGCTCGCTCGCGGCGCTCATGGGGGGGTGCATCTCCGTCGCCTCCTCCCCCCGCCACGGCTCCACCTTCTCCCTCTCCCTGCCCTTCACTCCTACGTCTGCTCCCCCTGCTTGCAGCGGGCAAGAGGCAGACCTGAAGGTTGTGGGTAGTGCTTCGCTGCCTGATGTGGTGGCGATGCCGTTAATGCCTGCTGATGACCCTCTGGTGCAGCAGCAGCAGCGGCAGAAGGAGGAGCGGCAACGGCAGGAGCAGCAGAGGCAAGAGGCGGAGCAGGAGGAGGAGGAAGAGGAGGAGGAGGAAGGGTGGGAGGAGGGGCAGGAGGAGAAAGAAACGCATTCTGCTGGTGGTGGGGGGTGTGGGTGTGAGAGAGGGAGCAGGAGGGCGACGGGTACAAGGGGACCAGGGAAGGAGGAAGAAGAGGAGGAGAGTGGAGGAGATGGTGTAAATGCAGGTCGAGGAGGAGGAGGAAGAGAAGGTGGTGAGGTGCGAGAGGGGGATACAGCGGAGAAAGGGAGAGAGGGATGCCCCAGGTGCAGGGGAGGCGGCTTGAGTGCGACACAGGAGGTGTCGAGGAGGACAAGACAGGTGCAGAGCAGGAGCAGAGGATCCAGAGACTCGGCTGGTATTTCTGGCGGTGCCGGTGGTGGTGGTGCTGCTGCTGCTTCTGCTGGTGGCAGTGGTTGTCAAGCTGGCAGTGGTGGCAGCAGAGATGGAGGCCCCTTCTCAGGGCTGCGGTGCCTGGTGGTGGAGGACAACGCGGTGAATCGCATGGTGGTGGTGCAGCTGCTGAGGAACCTGCGAGTCTCGTGTGACGTGGCAGAGAACGGCCACAAGGCTGTGGAGGCCTGCCGCTCCACCAACTACCACGTCATCTTCATGGTCAGTCCACCAACTGCCACGTCATCTTCATGGTCCGTCCATGCCCTCTCATTGTTCTTCTCTTGATTTCTTATCCACCATCTACAACGTCATTTTCATGGTCCATCGTATGCGTGCTTCTCATGCCTTTTATGGGCAGTCATTTTCATGGCCAGTCATTTTCTGTGCTTCATTGGTTCTCGTATCCTCCTCTCGTACCAAATACCTCCTCTCGGCCATGGTACATCCCCTTCTTGACCTATGCGTTCTTCCTCCTACAGGACTGCCAGATGCCAGTGATGGACGGTTTTGAAGCCACCACACACATCCGACGGCTGCAGGCCACCCCTCACACCACTGAATCGGGAGTGGTGGAAGAAGCGAGTCCTGGTGAAGCAGTACAAGCAGGGAGAGACGCACAGGGGGGGTGTGGTGGCCAGGTTTACACAAAGACTTCCCAGCAGCAGCAGTCTGGTTCAAATGCGCAGCAGCGGTCGGCTATTTATGCGTTGACAGCGAGTGTGTTGAAGCATGAGAGGGACAAGTGTGCGCGTGCAGGGATGGATGGGTTTCTGGCCAAGCCGATACGCATGAGAGACCTGCAACTGGTGTTGCAAGAGGTGTTGAAAGGACACATGTAGATTACTTCCTGGTCTGGTGGTGGCAACATCTGCCTCGGATAACCTTCTTGTTGCTTTGGTACATCACACTTACATGTTTGTTCCTCTGTGCTGATTGCCCTTTAGTACTGTCCTTCTGGCAACATGTTGCAGTCATTCTACCATGCAGTTTTCTGGAGTTTCACGCTAGTGTTGGAGGTCAGCAACTCACAGGTCAGACTCAAGAGGCAGTCAATCTGAGGTGATAACCTCACCATGTATACTAGGTAGGTATAAAGCTACAGTCAGATGCCTGTATCGCTACTACAGTACCATACCATAAACCCTAAACCTGAATCCCTTACATTCGCTCTCTCCTCCTTCCCCTCCCACTCTCACAACCCTCATTCGCCTCCTCTTGCGCAGCGATGCTCTGCCGGCCCTCCTTCACATCTCCGAACAGGCGGCGCCGGAAATCCTCCACCATGAGGGGCAGGCCCTGGAGCAGCGCGACCTCCCGCCCCCCCCCCCCCCCTTCCCCCCCCTCCCCAACCACCACCAAGCAGAAGCCCCTCACTTGGCCTCCTCTTGCGCAGTAATGCTCTGCCGGCTCTCCTTCACGTCTCCAAACAGGCGGCGCCGGAAATCCTCCACCATGAGGGGCAGGCCCTGGCGCAGCGCGACCTTGGGCTCCCAGCCCAGCAGCTCCTTGGCGCGTGTGATGTCGGGCTTGCGCTTGTGCGGATCGTCCGCTGTGTTCTCCTGAAAGGCTATGCTCGCTGACTTGTCTATCACCTCCCTCACCACCTGGAAAGAGAGAGGGGGCCGAGGGGAGAGAAGGAAGGGGAAGGGACGGGAGGGAGGGAGTTATGGAGAAGAGGAGAGTGGGGAGCAAGGGGTGAGGCCAGGAGGCTGTGATGTGCTGTGTTCCTGGCTGGCCGCTTTGCCCATCCCACCGTGTGCCGTAACACCTCCTGGGGGGAAGGGTTGAGCGGGGGTGAGAGCGGGACGAGCATGGGGAGAGCACAGGGGTTGGCTTTGGGGTTGAAACAGGGAGATGGGGGGAATGCAGAGGGACAACGAGACCGAAGTTGAAGTGAGCGGAAGCGGCTTCGTGATGGGGGGGTATGAGTGACACGAGAGCAAACAGAGGGTGTGAAAAGGTGTATTGGCCAGTTCAATTCAAACATGGTGACTGCCAGAAGCTCTTTAAAGCCACCTGGTGGAGGGAAGTCAATCATGTTCTCCCCTCGGCGAGTTCCAGCATCGTGAACTCCCCGGGGTTGCCAAGGTTGAAGGGCCCCACGTGCTCGCCATCCATGAGGCGCATGAGCCCCTCCACCAGGTCGTCTATATACTGGAAGGAGCATGCTGAGCTTACTCCAACCAGTTAAGGCATAGTGACTAACCTCAGCCAGTTCCAGCATAGTAAATTCGCCCGGGTTGCCAAGGTTGAAGGGCCCCACGTGCTCCCCGTCCATGAGCCTCATGAGCCCCTCCACCAGGTCGTCTATGTACTGGAAGGAGCGCGTCTGCTTGCCATCGCCGTACACCGTCATCGCCTCCTTGCGCAGCGCCTGCAGTGGAGGCAGGGTTGCAGAGAGAACCGGGTGGGATAAACACCGGGTGGGATCAGCAAGTGAGATTTGGAACCGTGACGACATTCACGGGCGCGGTTGCCATACACCACATGGGCCAGCAGGGCGTGTGGGGATGGCAGGGCATATGCACTGAGCGACCCAGGCTAACAGCACCCACCCATCCACCCATTCACCCACCTGTGCGACAAAGTTGCTGACAACGCGGCCATCATCGATGCACATGCGCGGACCATACGTGTTGAAGATGCGCGCAATGCGCACATCCACACCGGCCCACACAACACCAACTGTGCTCCCATCCACCCACCGCCAACCATACCCTCACCAACCCACCCACCTGAGCCACGAAGTTGCTGACAACGCGGCCATCATCGATGCACATGCGCGGGCCGTACGTGTTGAAGATGCGTGCAATGCACACATCCACACTGGCCCACACAACAGCATCTGTGCTCCCACCCACCCAAGACCAACCATACCCCCACCAACCCACCCACCCACCCACCAACCCACCTGGGCAACGAAGTTGCTGACAACGCGGCCATCATCGATGCACATGCGCGGGCCGTACGTGTTGAAGATACGAGCAATGCGCACATCCACACCCGCCCCTCTGTGGTAGTCCATGGTCAGCGTCTCTGCCACTCGCTTGCCCTCGTCATAGCAGCTGCGCACCCCTGCAAGTAGAGGGGGAAAGGCGGGGTGGACAGGAGAGAACAGAAAGGGGGGTTGAGATGGCAATGCGCACGTCCACGCCCGCCCCCCGGTGGTAGTCCATCGTCAGCGTCTCTGCCACTCGCTTGCCCTCGTCGTAGCAGCTGCGCACCCCTGCACGCATGCATACGTACGCCCATGGGTGTGGCAGCACATAGGGGATGGGGGTGTTGCGGAGGGAGCATGGCGGGGAGGCGTGGGAAGGGAGAAGAGCAAGTGCAGATGGGATGACGATGGGTAGTCTGGATGTATGTAGCACATGTGATGTGGCACGTGGATGTAGCATAGCATGTAGCAGCACAATGGAGAGCGTGGATAGTTGAATGAGCACTGGATGAGTAGCAGCGAGAGGGGAGCACAAACGTGGACAGGTGAACGCACAATGGAGGATGCAGGTGCACATAGAGGGTGATTCATTGGAGGAGATTATGGCTGCTCGGGAAATCAAGGGGGGAGAAAGAGCGAGAGCGAGCACAGGGCCAGCAGCAGCAGCACTCACCAATGGGGTTGACATTGCCCCAGTACTACTTAGTGTGAGGGTGCTCCAACGGATCCCCATACACCTCGCTGGTTCTCGTCAGCAGGAAGTCTTTGAGTAGACTCACAACACCAATGGACTTTTGAGTGGACTCAAAACTCACCGATGGGGTTCACGTTGCCCCAGTAATCTTCGGTCTGCGGGTGCTCCAGCGGATCTCCATACACCTCGCTCGTGCTCGTGAGCAAGAACCGCGCCCCCACCCGCTTCTTGAGTCAACTCAAAACCCACGCCCTCCGTGAGACACTCAACACCTTCCTTCCAGGCTCTAAAACTCACCGATGGGGTTCACGTTGCCCCAGTACTCCTCGGTCTGCGGGTGCTCCAGCGGATCCCCATACACCTCGCTCGTGCTCGTCAGCAGGAACCTCGCCCCCACTCGCTTCGCCAGCCCCAGCATGTTCATAGTCCCCGCCACATTCGTCTTAATCGTCTTGATGGGGTTGTGCTTGTAGTGCACGGGCGAGGCGGGGCAGGCAAGATGGTAGATCTGGTCGACCTCGAGCAGCAGCCCCTCAACCACGTCGTGGCGAATGAGCTCAAAGCGCGGGTTGCCAAAGTGGTGCTGCACGTTCTCCTTGCGCCCCGTGAAGAAATTGTCCACCACTATCACGTGGTCGCCGCGCTCCATCAGCCTGTCCACCAGGTGCGACCCCACGAACCCCGCCCCGCCTGGCGTGCGGGCGAGGTGGATGGGGTGGAGAGGAGTGGAATATAGTTGACATAGAGGGCAGAGGAAAGAGGGACAAGACGTTGTCCACCACGATCACGTGGTCTCCGCGCTCCATCAGCATGTCCACCAGATGACTCCCCACGAACCCAGCTCCGCCTGGAGCGTGGGTGAGACAGGTGGGGTAGAGGGGTGGAAGATAGAGGACAGAGGGAGGGGAGAAAGAGAGGGGGGTAGAAAGTTGACCAACACAATCACGTGGTCGAAAAGAGTAGAGAAGAGGGAAGAGACTGGGGAGAGCTTCAACACTAGGGAGATACGATGCTGTTGTCAGTTGGTCCATGCGCTCAACAAACAACAATTCAGTCCACAATCATTCTGTCCCCAATGATTCCGCCCAGAAACATTCCGTCCACATCCACGAGCTAAACATGATGGATGCATGCTGCCACGTGGCATAATCTGAAGCCAAGAAGAACGCGTTCGGGCTTCCAACCCTCGTGGACTCTCTTTCAGCCATGCGATACGCCACTAACCAACCATCTCAATTTCCATCTATTACTCTGGCTCCAAGACGACTTATTACACGGGTTCCGATACCCATGGAACACGCATGGTTCGATTAACAAAATATTCTTAAACCTCCCACAAACTGCGCTCATACTGCGAAGCACGCCTTATTACTCCGATTCCGAAACCCATGCACATGGAACAGGCGTAGGCCGACTAGCAAATCTTGTAACCCTCGTAAGAATTATGTCTCTACCGTGAAGCGCGAGGACGTTTCGAGCTCGATTACCCCACACCCATGACCGCAATTCTCACCAGTAACGACGATACGCAGCGGCGTGCGGCGAATGCCGAGCGGAATCTTTCCCATGAAGCGATGATCCGGCGTCTTCGCATGGTAGAGGCTCACGGCCGAGCTGATGGGCATAACAGAGCATCGATGTGGGGAACAGAGAAGCAACGATGAAAAGAAGCTAAGTACTTATAAATAGCAGCAACGCGACGAGGAGGAACAGCGAGACACGCATTAGGTTACGAAGAACCTCGATCCGTCATGGGGACAGCAGACACGAGTCACGGAGTCGAAGGAAATCGAGAATTTACTAGTAAGATTGAATTGCTCGACTAAGACTTCGACGTAGTAACGAGAGGAATTAGTCAAGGGGGAAGCTAGGGATACGGGTGTGTACGAATGACAACCGCCTCGCAAGTGGATCCGATTTTCGATTCTAACCTTTGAACGCCAGAGAAGATCGCATGGCTGTCGCCGACAGTCGACGACGCCGTATCTAGCGGCGACGGTCGCGGATAGCCGGCCGGCAGAATCGTGAAGACGGCTGATGCTACGAGGAAGCCGACGACGAGGTACGCTCCTTGGAAATGCTCGCCGAGCAGCTGGATGTACCACGGGCGACTGCGACGACCGTGCGACTTGGACGGCGAACTAGGCGATAACGTAGGTGGTCTCCGCTCCATTTTACCGGCAATTTCCGGGAATTGGAGTACTGAAATCCCCTAGATTTACGGTCCAAGCGACAGCTCAACGGACGACAAGGGGAAGTCAAGACCCTCGAAACCTGGCGACCTAAAAGGGACACCTGTTGCCTGCTGCAGCCTGCAATTGCTAAATGCAATAGGGAAGAGCAAGCAGCTTTTCTTGCTGGTTGAAAGAACATGCAACGGAAATACGGCACTGACTGGTGGTGGTGACATACACACACACCTCCTGAGCAAGAGCAAGAAGGACCAACCCGAGGCGAGATTCTGGGGGGAAGACTGGTCACTCGCTGACGAACCTGAATCTTGGGGTGAGCGAGACCAGGAGACCACCAGAGCAGACCAGAGACGGCCCGAACCGAAACCGAGCCATTGTGCGCGTGGCTCTGATTCGGTGGGCGTCCCTCTCTGGGGAAACTGCAGGTGGTTGGCCTGGTTCGGCACTGTCGAACCTACTGTGAGCTGGTTTCAGGTGACAATGGTTCGGTTTGGCACACAGTGATCTTCGCCTCGACAGGCCGTAACGCATTTACACAGCCAATCAGCAGCTCCCAGATGCCCTTTGCTCAACACCCAGAGTACCTCGTTAAGCTCCGAAAGGGGGCATGCTCAAGGATATGCCTAGCTGTGGTAGAGTGAAACAGAAACGAGGGTAAGTAATTTATACATCTCATCAATCTGAGAATTCAATGAGCCCCTAACATAACAAAGGTAAACTAATGTGACCGCCTAATAAATTTGTGACCATCATCCCACGCCTTGAGAAAACTTGAGACCAATTATATCACACATGTTCACTCGCCGTTTATCTATTTTAAGCCTGTAGAGTCCACTCTATCATCCTATCACCCTAGCACTACTTGCTACCACCAAACCACCTACGTGTGGTGGTGGAGCCACTAAGAGGAGGAATTACAGGCCCATTTGTTGGAGCTGCATGTCTGGGAAGCTGCTGCTGTGTCAGCCTAGCGGCATGCGGTGCCTTCACTGCTGTACCACTCACAGGAGAAGGGCCCATGCATGGCACTGCACCAGTACCAGGCACACTTGCTGGAGGAGCCGGGCCTCCGGCGAATCCCTGCCATGCATTCATGGCCGATGATGACGTCAGCACTCCTCCACCCGCCACCTGTGCTGCTACTGCCTTACCACCTCCCGCACTTCCTCCCACACTCGCTGCTGATCCCCCTGCCCCTGGACCACCCACTATTCCCACTCCTCCCCTCACTGCTGCAACCCCTGCTCCTGACCCCCCTCCCACCGCATCACCCCCCTGTGCACCACCACAACCACCAGAACCACCACCAGCAGCAGCACCAGCCGCACCGGCAGCAGCACCACCACAACCACCAGCACCAGCACCAGCAGCAGCGGCACTAGCAGCAGCGGCAGCAGCCTTGGCCTCTAACTTCCTCCGAGCCACCATAGCAGCAGCGCTGCCTCTACTCGGCCCTGCAAAGAACATGCTCCCCACCGGCCCTCGGGCAGGCAGAGGGGAGGCATAGCGCGACGACGTAGTGGCTTTGTCAGGCGTGCCAGCGCCGGCAGGGCTGGCAGAGCCGGCAGCATTGGGGGACATAGCAGCAGCATGCCTTGGACTGCCCGAGGGGCAGAAGGGGACAGGGGAAACGCAGCGATTTGGGCTGCCAATGTAGCCAGCAGGGGTAGGGGCGAGCGGCCCTGCTGGTGGTTGTGGAGTGTGGTAAGCAGCAGGGACGAATGGTGCTGCTGCTGCTGGTGGTGGAGTGTGGCAGGCGACAGGCGTGCGTGCAGGGCTGCGGTTGGGTCCTGAGACGAAGGGCATGGCTGCAGTGGCGTGGGGTGAGGGCGATCGGGGTGGACTGGGGCTGGGCCCTGCAATGAATGGCTGTCGATTCTCCTGCTGGAGCCATGGGCGATTGCGGTATGGGCTCTGCTGCTGCTGCTGCTGCTGCTGCATTTGCTGTTGCTGCAGTTGCTGGTGAAGTGGCACTGGCTGCAGGTACTGCTGTGCATGGTAACCAGGATGCTGCAGATTGCCTGTCACAGCAGTTTGGTTCGTGCTGCCACGCATTGCGTGCGCCATTCCTTGTTGTGTCGGGTGGGGAGGCGTGGAAGGAGAAAGCGGCACGCCACCATGCATATGGGAAGGATGAAATGGATGCAATCCCCCATGCATCACCACTTGTTGTGTCGGATGTTGAGGGGTGGGCGGACATGGAGCGATGCCACCATGCCTCGGACTCACAGGAGTATGAAACGGTGCAGTAGGGTGTGCAGGGCCAGGGGATGCATGGGACACTGAAGACGGATGGGCAGGGCTGCGGGGTGCAAAAGGGGAGGGAGCAACAGTGGGGCTGCGAGGTGCAGAGGGAGAGGGTCCCGCTGTGGGGCTGCGCGGTGCAAGAGAGGAGGGGCCCACCGTGGGGCTGCGGGAAGCACCAGAGAGGGAGGATGCCAGAGGGTGCATGGGGCTGGCATTGGGAGAGCCTCCCATGGCAAACTGCAGCACGTGGAATGAGCGCGGTGAGGGCGGCGGGGAGAGAGACGCGGCAGCAGCACCCATAACAGAGACACGGGGAGACGTGGGGTTGGACCTGGGAGGAGCGAGAGCAGGGTTGGCAGGGGGGCCTGAAGGAGCGCGTGGGGAGAGAGGCGGGGTGGAGGTGCTGGTGGCAGCGCTACTGGGGGCGAGTGAGTGGAGTGGGCTCTGGAGGAAGGGGTTGGAAGGTGGCGGATGGCGGGGTGATGCGTCAGCAGACCCAGACGAGTATCTAGAAGCAGCAGCAGCAGCAGCAGCAGCAAGAGGAGGAGGAGCAGGAGCAGGAGCAGAGGGAACAGCAGTAGGAGAAGGTGCAGGAAATCCGTTGGGGTTTGTCCGATGAAACAGATTTCTCTCAAACGGACGCAATTTCCCTGCAGAGACCACCCCCTGCTGCTGCTGCTCGGCCTGTGCGTGCACCTGTGGTTGTGTCCTGGCATCACCTTGAGTGACAGGCCCTGCCTTCCTCAGTGGACTCACGTTCCTCTCTCCAAACAGCGGCCGGCTGAACGGCTGGTGCACGCCAAGACCACCACCCCCCGCCGCCTGCCCTATTCTCTCTGCCTCGAGCTTCTGCTGCTGCATCTGCTCGTCCCTCTCCCTCTTCTTTGCCACCCACTCGGGCCCGAACGCTAGTGTCTGCAGAAAGTGCTGCTGCTGCACCATAGGGGAGTGCTGTGACTGGTGTGAGGTAGACACTGACACCTGCTGCTGCTGCTGCTGCTGCAGTCCTGGAGCTGTCTGCCTGCTCCCCGCTGCACCCACTCCTCTTCCTCCCGCTCCGCCCATCCCTCCCTTCCCGAAGCTGCTACCGGAGCTGCTCCATTCCTCGCCAGTCTCCGACCCTCCCACAGCCGACTCTGCTCCATAGGACCGCCCCGCTACTGCTGCCCCCGCTGCTGCTGCCCCTCCAGCCCCCTTCACTCCGACAGTTGACACTCGCTTCACACCTCCAGCACCGGCAGCAGCTGCTGCTCCTGCAGAGGCCGAAGCAGAGGCGGCAGCAGAGGCAGACGCAGAAGCTGAAGCAGAACCACCACGCTTTGCAGCGGATGCAGCTACAGACTGCCTTCCCGCTGCCGTGGCCTTGTTTTCTTGCCTCTTCCACCCCATTCTCTGCCCTGCTGCTGGGCTCTTCTGTGTCACACTGTCAGGCTTCCTTGCACTGGGGTGGGGCCTCGCCCCCGGGCTGTGCCTCACACTGTTGGCCATGCTGCATGAGCCACAGCTCTCCTCCACCTCCGCCACTGCCTCCCCCTGCACGCCCCCTCCTCCCGCTCCCACGCCATCTCCCATCTCTACCATACCTCCCGTTCCTACCCCACCCTTTGTCCCGCTCACACTTCTCCTCATTGCTGCTCCTGTCACTGCACCTGTCCTTCCCACTGCCCTTGCGGTACCACCCATGCCTGTGGTGCCACGCTGTGCCTTCTGCTGTGCCACCAGAACAGCAGCAGGAGCACGAGGGGTAGCAGCAGCAGCAGCAGGGGCAGCAGGAGGAGCAGCAGAGGCAGCAGGAGGAGCAGCAGCAGCAGCAGCAACAGCAGGAGGTGTGGAATTCTGAGCAGCAGAGCCCAAGCCCTTCCTGGTGGAGATCTTGAATGGCAGACGAGGCATGGCAGGAACCGGCGCAGCAAGTGGGCTCTGCCTCTCCCTCACACCTGGGTGCGCCTGTGCAGCGTGCACATTGGATATGCCTGTGGGGGCACCTGATGCCCCCCCTGCGGGAGCACCTGCGGGGGCACCTGGGGGAGTGGGAGGGGTGCGGTGCAGGGCAGTGTGAGGGCGAGCCTGAGCACCCACGTGGGCGGGTTTGCTCTCCACGTGGTTGGCTTTGCTGTTAACACGGCTGTCCTTGCCCTCCATACGCGCTCCTCTACTGCCCATGGCAGTCCCCACCACACTGCTCACATGCCAGTGCTGCCCTGCCACGCTGCCACCTGCTGCCACGCCAGTGGTACCCATCGGGTTTCCCTCGGTGGGATGAGCCATCGGGTTGTTGGCAACGACTGGATCAGCAGCAGCAGCAGCAGCTGTGCTTTCAGCAGCCTCTACAGCTGCAGTTTCTTCCACAGGGACCAGGTCAGCAACAGGGGTGCCAGATACAACACCAGTAGCAGCGATGGCAGCACCAGCACCAGCGCTGGCACTGGCAGTAGCAGCACTGGTGCTCTGGCTGGCTTTTTGCGTGGAGTGGAACATGTCGGTAGAGGCAGACGTGCCACCGCACTCCTCTTGTACTGAAGGGTCTGAGCGTGTGTCAGCATCAAGGTTGCACTCACTCACCACATTCGTTTCTCCCTCTCCCCCCTGCTTATCATTCTCCTGCTTCTCCTCCTGCTTTTCCTCTTCTTGATTCTCCTCCCCCTGCTTCTCCTGCTTCTCCTCCGGCTCTCGCCTCTCCACATCCACTCCTCCTTCCCCACGACTTCTAATACCCATGCCATCCGCGCTCCCCATTCCATCTCCACCCGCCCCCTCCCCTGCTGCCACACCCTCCGCCCCTTCCCCCTCCGCACCACCATCCGCCCTCTCAACCGCTGCCAGGGCGGCGGCTGCAAGCTGGGCGGCCTGGGCGCGCTCTAGGCTGCGGCGGAGGGAGCTTTTCAGCCAGGGGCGGTCGGGCAGGGGGATGGTGGGGGACGAGGGGCGGCTGGCATGCGCGGATGTGGGGGAAGACGGGCGGCTGGCATCCGCGGAGGTGGGGGAAGAGGGGCGGCTGTGATGGGCGGAGAAAGCAGTGGGGGAGGAGGGATGGGAGGAGTAGGGGCCAGGAGCGGATGGACGAGTGGGGTCGTTGGGGTAGGGATGGCGGACGGGGAAGGAGGAGGGGGAGGCTGGGCGGTTGATTAGGAGGGAGGTTAGTAGGAGGGCGGGGGAGGAGGCAGAGGGAACCAGGCGGCGCACAGGGGGGCGGAAGGGGTTCATTTCACCTGCTGCGGCTGTAGTAGCAGTGGCAGTGACAGGGCCAGGGGCAGTGGCACCATTGGCGTTTTCAGCAGCGACAACAGCAGCAGCAGCAGCAGCAGCAGCTGCAGACGAGGCGGGGACGGCGGGAGCAGTGAGGAGGGGGTTATCAAGCAGGCTGAGTGACGGACTGGCAGTGAACGGTCGGATTACATGCTTCCGTGACACAGCAGGCGTCAACCTGCTGCTGCTATTGCTTGGCTGGCTGCTACCTGGCTGGCTGCTACCAAAGCCCACAACCCCACAGACAGCACCCCAGGCACTAATCTCCTCAAACACGTCCTCTCCCTGTCGCCTCCCTCTCCACTCCTCGTGCTCCTGACTTGCAGGGTCAACTCCAAAGGCGGCTCCCCATGCGCGCGCTGCTGCTGCTGCTGCTGCCTCCGCAGCTGCCTCTTCGCCTCCCTCGCCCGTCCCCTGTGAGCCGTGCAGAGCCAGGGCCGCCCTGGCGCCGACCTCACGCACGGCCTCTGCGTCGCTGGAGCACTCCTCCTGCATGCCTTCGCACTCTTCAGTCACCTCGTCCGAACTCGCTGGTTCGTCCCTGCTTGCACCTCCGCTTCTCACTTCCTCCTCCTCCTCCTCATCCTTCTCCTCCTCATCCTCCTCCTTCTCATCCTCCTCCTCCTCCTCCTCCTTCTCTCCTTCCTCTTCCTCATATAAAGTCACCGCCTTCTCATCTGCGCTTCCATCCTCGCTTTGTGCATCAGCTTCACAATCCAATCCATTTTCCTCCTGTTCCCCACTCTGCCTTTCCTCATTCTCAGCTCTTCCCGTCCCCTCCATCTCGCCTCTTTGCTCCTCATCTGTTCCTGCCCCCAGCTTCCACCCCTCTGCACCGCTGCTCACCTCCCTCCTCTCTGCACCCTCATCTGTAACATCCTCTCTCCCACCAACCTCGCTTGTAGCACCTCCGCTACTCGCCCAGCTCGCTGCCAAGCCTCCCCCAGAAGGACACCCTCTCTGGCCACCACGAGCCAAGGCAACGCCTTCTTGTGGCCAGATTTCGCTGTCCCTCCCACCCGCCTCCCGCCGAACCTCTTCCTGCTTCTCCTCAGATTGCACCTTTCTGCACAAATCAGCTACAGCCCCAGCAGACGTAGCCTCATCTGCTGCTGCTGCTGCTGTTGCTGTTAGTTTCCCTCGCTCGCCGGCACTAGGGAGGGCGGAGGGGAGAGGGCGCGGAGGGGAGAGGAGCGACGTGCAGAAGGAGGAGATGGCAGCTGGCGTTGAGTGGAGCGCGTGTGAGGGGAGTGCGAGTGGCTGAGAAGAGAACGCAGTGCCACACACACCGGCGTTCACTTCGCCACTTCCACTCTCCTCCTCCCTCTCCACCGCTCCCTTCGCCGTGTCCCTCTCTCGCCCATCCGCCACTCCCTCCCCTCCCACCATCTCAATAAACACACGCTCCGCCTCATCCCCGTTCTCCTCCCCGTTCTCATCCTCATCTCCATCCTCGTTTCCGCCCCCATCCTCATCCCCATCCCTATCCCCACCCCCATTCCCGTCCTCCATCTCCGCCTCTTCATTAGAAGGGTGCTGCATCGTGTCACTGCCACCTGCTGCTCTGCTGCCATCCACAGAAACAAGCTGCCTTCCCTCCACCTTACCCTCCTCCTTTACATCCATCCGTTTCCCCTTTTCCGTTTCCGCCCCTCCCTCCTCCCCTCTCTCGTCCACTCCCTCTTCCCCCCATCCAGCCCAGTCGAACTCTCCCTCTTCCCCCTCCCTCCCAGTCATCCCAGACCCTTCACTGCTCAACTCCCCTTCACTGCTCACACCATCATCGCTTCTGCTCTCTGCGCTGGCCTCCATAGGACCGTACCTCTCGTTATAGTCACGTTTGTGTACAGCCACACCAGAAGCACCCGAGAGAGTGCTATCTCCACCGTTTATCGCCTTCTCCTCAGTCGCTGGTACCTCCTCTGACGGCCCAGATCCAGCTGGTGGCAGAGATTCAGCTGGCGGCGCAGATTTAACAGATGGCCTACATTCAACTGACGGTCCAGATTCAGCAGGCGGCCGAGATTCAGTTGACGGCCGAGATTCAGCTGACGCCGTAGTTTTGATTGAAGGATCAGTTCTAACGGAAGTTTCATCTTCAGCTGATGGCCTAGATTCAGCTGACGATTCAGATCCAGCTGACGCTCTGGATTCAGCTGACCACATCGAGTCAGTCGACGGCTGAGATTCATCCGACGGCCGAGAGTTAACAGACTGGCAGCACTCCTCGAGATCTATCACATGGGTGGCACTGGCAGGCGCTGTTCCTGTCCCTTGGCTGGAGCATGAGGGTGAGCGAGTGATGGACGTTGACTGAGCTGTGACGGCGGCAGAAGGAGCGGCAGAGGAGAGATGGGACTCAGGCATAGATGTGAATGCTTGTGGCGCAGGTGGCGATGGTAGTGATGATGCAAGCACCGATACGGAAGCAAGAGAGGGTGCCTGTAAAGGCACTGACGAAGCGGTCATTAGAGCACTGGCAGCTGCAGGCGTATTGGCAGCAGCAGCAGCAGCAGAAAAAGGAGGAGGGTAGCCACACGCAGCACCAGCAGCAGCACCAGCAACAGCAGCACCAGCGACAGAACTGCACAAACCAGCGCCAGCAGCAGCAACCGCAGCAGCGGCATTGTTGGAAGGCGGAGGAGTGAGGGGGCGCGAAGCGGTGAGGAAGCGAGTGGGCTTGCGAACTCGCGGGGAGAGGCGGCGCTTGATGGAGGAGAGGTTACTGTGCAGAGAGGGCACGGCGGGCAGCTGCATGGGCGGCTGTAGATGGTGATACTCGTGCTGCTGCGCCCACTCCGCCATCACCATGCCGCCCTGCTGCTGCTGCTGCTGCTGCTGCTGGCCGCCCGGCTGCCTGAATGGGGCGGCATCATTTGGCTGTAGGTGGATGTGAGACTGAGGAGATTCCGGCAGGGCGTGGTGCTGCGGAGTGGGTTGGGGCGTTTCTTTAGTGGCCTCGTGTGATGGGGCCAGCGAGGGCGAGGGGACGGAGGGCGAGAGAACGGAGGGCGGAGGTGTGGAGAGGGCAGGCAAGGCGGTGGGAGCATGGAGCAGGGATGCATGCAGTTCAAACTCCCCTTCCAACTCACTTCCCTCCTCACTCCCATCCGCTTCCTGGCCGCACATCTCTTTCATATCGCCCCCCTCCTCCTCCTCCTCCTCCACTTCCTCCTCCCCCTCCTCCCCCTCCTCCTCCAGTACCAGCCATCTCAAGCGCAAGCTTCCCCCGCCGGCACTCCCCTCCATCTCCGTTCCTTCCCCCGCGCCACTCCCGCCCCACCGCGTGCGCCCGCCTCCCTCATTCCCCGCGGGAGCACAATCGCCCCACCGCTTCCTGCTCCTCCTCCCGCTGCCACCTTCGTCATAACTTGCGTCAATCTCGGCAGGATCCGCCACGTCAGCACTGCTCACCTCAAAATCCAGCTTCCCAGAAGCCACGCGCTCTTCCCCCAAGCACCTCTCCGCGTCACCCGCTTCCCCCACTCCCCCTGCGCCCCCCGAATCCATTCCCTCGCCCGTTGCCCCACCGTCCGCAGCGGCGGAACCGCTTTCCGCGGGCCCAGCGGAATCCTGGCGGCGGTTGCTGCCTACGGCGGGGATGACGCTGGAGCGCCAATCGCTCGTGCGACTGTCGCAGGTGGGGGAGTCGCCGGAATCGTCGCCGGACGAGCTGGAATCGATCATGGCGATCGAGTCGGCGGGCGTTGAGTGCGCGAGCGAGTCGCTCGAGGAACCAGACGGGGAGGACGAGGAGGCTGGGGGGACGCCAGACGGCGGAACGGAAACGGGAGCGCCGCCCTGCGCGTTCGTGTCCGCACGCCCTTCCGCCTTGGCGCTGTGCGCCTTCGCGGCGAGCGACTCGGTTCGAACGACTGCGGAGGCAGCTTCAGCGGCAGAATCGGTGGCAACAGCATCGGCAGCAGCATCGGCGGCAGCACCAGCTTCGAGTGCAGCTTCGACCTGTTCATACTCCCGGCTCGTCTTCCCAGCTCGCGCGCCGGCCATGCCCGTGAGCTGCGAGCGGCCGCTCATGGCCACGAGCGACTCGAGATCCACCGGCGCGTCGCTCTTATCCGCCGCCTCGTCCGCATCACTGTGCTCCTCATCCCCGCTATCATACTCCTCGCTGTCATACACGTGGTCCTCATCGGGCTCTTGCTCGTCATCCTCGTCTCCGTTATAGCGCTCACCGACACTGTCAGACGGGGCAAGGTCACCAACACCCTTCTCCGCGAACCCGTCCTGCCTCATCTCATCACCACCCACACCCTCCCCCGCCTCCTTCGCTTCTGTAGAAACACCACCAATTTCCATCTCCCCTGACCAACCCATTTCCCCCGATTGCCTCTCCTCTCCCGGCCGGTTAGCCTGGACAGGGCTCGCGGCATGGCCGGCAGGCTTGTCGGCGCCGTCCATGTCTCGCAGGAACGCCGCGAGAATCCGCCGCTTCGACTCCTCCACCTCCGGCCCGACCCGCTCCCTCCGTTTCCTCACCCCCTTGCTCCGCCCACTCACACCCAGCGCGCCCTTGTCACTCTTGATCAAGTCAGCTGCTGCCACGTGTACTTTGCCTTCCCCTGCCACGTGTCCGTCTTTAGACACGTGTCCTTTGCGTTGCTCTACCACGTGTTCGTCGCGTTCCGCTGCCACGTGTCCCCTCACCTCCTGAGCCACCTCCTCTGACCCCTCGCTCGCCGCACTACCACCGAAATGCAGTGAGCTGGCGTACGTACCAGCAACCTCGCTATAAGCACGCGCCACCGCCTCTCTAACAGACGGATCGGTCGTGCGAGCGTACGGTACGGATGGCTGTGCGCCGTGGGTGCTCACGTTCCTCCCGCTGACGTTCACAGGCGGCCCTGCTACCGCTACTCCGCCTCCCTGCATCCTGTGCTCTTGCAACTCCTGATCACCCTGATGCCGCCGCTGTTGTTGCTGCAGTCGCTGCTCCTGCTGTTGCAGTTGCTTCTGTGGTGTCTGCGCGTTCTCGTGTCTTCGCGCAGGGCTGCAGCGCCGAATCAGCCCCCCGAACAGCCGAGATGTGCGCGTTTTCTCCTGCGGCTGGCCCGAACTCTTGCTCTGGTTCCAAGGCTCGATCCGAGGCTCGGCGTGAGGCTCGTTGTCGATGGCGTCATTGTCGCGCAGAGAAGGTCTGCTGCTGACCAAAGAGAAATAACGAGACATGAGATAGAGGAAGTGGATGGTGAGGGGACGACGGGAAGGCGAACCGAACGCTGGACAGACGAAGAAAGAACGGCAAAGGGGGAAGGAGGAAGTGAAATGCATGGACCGGTGAAGTTAGTAGCGGCTGCGGACACGGAAAAAGTGTGAGAAACGGAACGGGTGTGATACTGAAGGGAATGGGAAGGGCCAACCTTGGTGCGGGGTTGCGAGCAGCTGAGGCGTGGAGGCGAGTCCTGATTCTCCCGACCAGCATCGACGTCTGCACATGGTCGTGTGATGCGTGGAGAACAGAAAGGCCGTGGGGGTTAGACGAAGAGACCAGGAGTGGAGGTTGCGTGACAAGGTTAACAAGGGTGATAACGGTGAAGCCGGGAGGACGCGAAAAATAACAGGTCGAGGGCGTAATAATGGTGTTGTTTCAAAAGCAGATCTTCGCTGCTAATGAAGTAGTAAAATGATTTGTGACAACAAAAATGAGCACTACGTGGAAAGCACGGCGGACACCAGAACACGCAACAACAGCCGTGTGTTAGGCAACAGATGGACCACCCACCGTCGCTGCTCGGCTGCTGACGCCGAGTTGGCGACACAGCCGCTTGATCTCCTCTCGGGATTTGTCCTCTAGATTATCCTGAAAGGCCGCCGTCGATGCCGCGTCCATGGCCGCGTAATCTAGTTCTAGGCCGTCCGCCTGATTACTCTGGCGAATCTGAATGAACAAAGTACTAGATGACTACGTTACTGGTCACGCTCTTAAACACGGTTCTAATGCATAATTCAATTGGTCGGCGAAATAATCAACGTTGTGTTGATTCGGTGGAGTCTAATGGTGGCGTGAGTTCAGAATCGCCGACAGCTGTCACAGCAGTGTTGTTCTGAGGTACGCGCCTCGGCCAAATCGGATCGGCCAGTAACTAAGACCGAGCAACAACTCACTGCATTGCAGGCATGCGAACAACTTAAAAGTACAATGTGGGGATCAGTGTCTTGAAACGGTGACAACTGCTCCACAACATCTGCAGTGCTGGGGTGCCATAAGAGAGACACCAGTCTGAAAGGAGAGAAAACAATGGTGAGCACACGCATGCACTGCTCATGGGGTTATGCTAGTGGCAGTAGCCGCTACCAGACAGAACTCAAGAACAGCTGTGATGGCGGTGTTCCATAGCATTCGCTTCCTGCTCTGTCCCGTCCCGTTTCTTGGTTGATGCGATGATGTTTGTGCCTGCTGCTGCCGATGTTCCCAGGGAGCATCAGATGCGAAGCAGGCGCCATTCCGCGACAGTCGCGCAAAGCGCCCGAGGAATGCAGTGTCCTTCCCTTCTCGCCCCGCCTCACATCTCTGGTCAAAATTAACGATCTTGTTAACATCGTGACCGTCGATTTAGGTTTCGAGCTTCTACATCTTGTGGTAGAATTTGCGGGAAACTCCCTTGGTTGTGTCGTCAGAGGGCCTCGCTTCGCTCGCAAATCGTCAGAGCACCGTTCGCGAACCGCGCCTTCTGGTGTCCCGCCAATGGCGTTCAAGCTGCATCTCCCCTTGAAAAAAACCCATTATCTCACATGCACACTCAGAAAGCATCTACCGGTATGTCCTGGAATGCTAACAGCGCGAGAAGAATGTATGGAGAGAATTTCCTCTCAACTTCAATTGAGGTAAGAGCCTTACCGTATTGAAGGACGAGTGTATATGACGAATTGCTTGGCTGACGTGGTGTCCGCGATACAGTGGGAGTCGGCACACACGCCACAACCTCTCCCAATTTACCGCAGCCAACCAAAGAAGCTGAACCCGATATAGGCGAACTCGGGTTTGTGACTGCCAACTCCCATTCCTTCTTTCCCCTGCCTTTACTCCACCCATCCCTTCCTCCCAACCCCGCGGCCACCCCACAAACCTCGAGAATCCTGAAACACAGCTAGCAGCTAATACGACTTGCGTGTCCCCTTTTCGTTCACTGCGTGGTAGACCATCGGGGACTTTCTTCTTCACCAGCCGCCTCCGTTTCGAGATAGTCCGTCCACCTACCCCTCCCGCTCCCCCGCCTTTATCCCGTTCCGTGGCGCCGCTTCGTTACGAGCCATCGCTTATCGCGCGTACCCTCTTCCCTTCCGGATCCGCCTATATTGTAGCGAGAAACCACGGTCTGCCGCTTTGCACCACCTCACCCGATCGAAACGCCTTCGCGTGCCTCTCTGTAACCAGTTTTCACACACCTCGTTAAAAGCACATGGCGGGGGAGTACGGCCGGGAGCCGTGCCCAGATCGCATCCTCGATGACGTAGGCGGGGCGTTTAGCATGGGCGCGGTGGGCGGCGCTGCGTGGCATTTCATTCGCGGGGCTAAGAACTCTCCGCGCGGGGAGCGCCTCATCGGCGGAACGCAGGCCGTGCGGATCAACGCGCCGCGCATCGGCGGAAGCTTCGCGGTGTGGGGCGGGCTGTTCTCAACGTTCGACTGCTCATTAGTGTATCTCCGCCAGAAGGAGGACCCCTGGAATTCCATCGCCGCGGGTTTCCTCACCGGCGGCTTCCTTCAGTTGCGCGCGGGCCCGCGATCCGCGCTGCAGTCCGCCGTGTTCGGCGGAGTTCTGCTGGGGCTGATCGAGGGTGCGGGGATCATGCTCAACCGCATGACTTCCGCGCTTCCGCCTCCCCCGCGCGACGAGCCTCCCCCCGCGCAGATCGAGCCGCCCATGAGCATGCCGGTGGTGGTCCAACCCGCCGCTCTTCCCGCTGCCGCCGCCCCTACCCTGTCTACCCAACCTGAGTTAGTCAGCCCCGGCGCTGGTGGCGCTGTGACGTTGCCGAACGTAGAACTCAGCCCTGGATCTGGCTCGGCGGCGGTACAGACTGGTCCGGTTGCATCAGAAAGTAGCACGTCGTCAGGCTGGGGAGGGTGGTTCTCTTGGGGGGGCGCAGGGGGGGAGAAGGGCGCTCAAGGGGGAAGCAGCAGCAGCAGTGGCGGGGTGAGTGGCGGAGAGAAGCATGATGTGTTTGCTGCTAATCCGCCGCCTAAAGCACCAGAGTTTGCTGCTGGAGGGGATGATTCGTGGTTGAGACAGAAGTGAGGATGACGTGGGGAGTGGTCTGTTGTAGGCATGCGCTCCCATGTGGTGTTAGTTTATCTTTCCTTGTCTGGTTTTTGCATTAAAACCTAGTCTCTTCAGGGGCTTAGCACATGGCCATCAATTGCAGAGTAACCTGCCAGCTAGTACCTGTGGGTGATCATTCCTACAACCAGAATTCAGACTGAGAAACTGGCACGGGCTGAATCACATTAAAAATCCTTCTGCAGATACATTCTGTGACTTTAGTAGGTATTGTATTATGTGGAACTAACTTCCCACAATACAGAGAATTCTCGTATGGTGCTGTAACACCCACAAAACACCGCTGAAGAGGCCTCTCCACTGCATCTCTAGGTGGTTGTAATTTGTCCTGACCTAGGCTTTAATTCAACAGGCTTGAGAAATCCCATGGTGGAAGAAAAAGCACCACGCAGGGTACACTTTCCAATATGGTAAACGAACCCATTGAATATTCACATGGCCGGTCAGTCATGGCGTGCGCGCTTCTCTCCCCCCTCCTTGTCATCCGCCGAGCGCTTGTGCGACCCTGTACAACCACACCGCACCACCACACAACCACACGTGGGGTTTATTGACAAACCATAAAGCCAACACACCACACATCAGCAGGTCAATCGGCAACAACGACCAGAACAGCGACAACAAGCAGGCCAAAGATGCTTGCCGTGCACGCATGTGCAAACCAAGCCAACCAATGGAGATAAGGATGAGGCGACCCACCGTGAGAGTCTTTCCGGTCGTCATCTGCCGATGCTGCAGCTGCTGCTGTGGCGTCTGTCCCTGTGGCGGTGCCATCAGTGCCAGTCTCAGATGCCACGATGGTAGGTTGCGTGTTGGGAGGTAGAGGGGGCGGGGGAGGGAGGGCGGTGGTGGGGAGACCTGCTGCAGCGGCAGCGGCGAGGAAGGTGGGATCGGAGAGAAGGGAGGGGTCGAGGAGAGAGGGGTCGAGGCCGGGAATGGCGAAGGCTGCAGGAGGGATGGACGAAGGGGCGGGCACGGGGGCGGGCGGGAGGGGTTCAACCTTCTCAACCCTGCTCACCAGCACACCACCCAGCACCACCAGCAGTAGCAGCAGCAGCCGCCCACACCAGTAGCCGCAGCGCCAGGCAGCAGCAGCAGCAGAGGCGGCAGCGCGGCGGCAGCAGCAGCAATGCAAGCCGGCAGGATGGCAGCAGGTGTTGGAGCAGAGGCAGCGGAAGCAGCACAACAGCGCAAGAGCCAAGAAAAGGGGGGGTTGTTAAGAGTCAAGGGGAGGGTGGATGGGACTTGGATGCAAGAAAATAAAAAGGGTTATGAAGCTGCTGCAAGGAAGAATGAAGCAGTTGGTGCCATGGCGAGTAAAAAACTGCGAGGGAGGATGGAAGGCGGGATACAAGTGCGGAAGGCGGGAAGGGCCGGGAAGGGCGGGACGGGGGGGAAGCAGGGGGGGGAGGGGAGAAAGGGAGAAGGGGGCAAGGGGGGCAAGCGGGCAAGGGGTGAAGGGGTGAAGCGGAGGAGGGGAGGAGGGGAGAAGGGGAGGGAAGAAGGGGGAAAGGGGAGAAAACAGTGCTTTTAGACGCCACAGCAGCAACAAAGGCCACAACAAGTCCGGGGAGGGGGGGGAGGGAAGGGTTTATGGGCAGCAGGGCGGCATGGCGGGACGTACGAGATGGTAGCGCCCATAAACTTGGTCCCGTTCAGCTCAAGCGCCTTCGCCACCGCCTCTGCATCCTCCACCTCCACCGTCGCCATTTTCGTCGGCCCCTTGTAACCCTCTTCGCCGTCGCCCCCCTCCTCGCCCTCGCCCTTCTCCTTGCTCGGCTCCTCAGGAGGCGGGCCTGGCACGGGCACGATGATCAGCGAGCGCACGTGGCCGCAGCACGCCTCCACGAGCGCGCGCACGTCCGCTTCCGAGGCCTGGGCGGCACACGGCAGCACGCACACGCAACGGGGGAACCACGGGGTGGGTGGGCTTCGGGAGGGGCGAGAAGGGCAGGGATGGAGGGTAGGGCGGGAGGGTAGGGCGGGAGGGAGGGTCGGGCGGGAAAGATGGGCGTCGGGACGCAAGGGGCGGGAGTAGAGAGCAGGTGAGGCGCGGAGCGGAGAAGCGCGGGGAGGGGGGCGACGCTCGGAGGGGGGTGATGCTCGGAGGGGGGAGATGCGCGGAGGGGGTAGATGCGCGGAGGGGGGAGATGCGCGGAGGGGGGAGATGCGTGGAGGGGGAAGGGAGATGCGCGGAGAGAAGAAACGTGCAAATAGAAGCAATGAACAGTAACCGCAGGATGTAGCTGGTAAGCGGGACAGCGAGGCACACCTTAGCGGGGATGCCCTGCACTTTGACGATGTTTTGCGGCGCGGCGACGGCGGCCATCATCATGGCGGGCGTCATGGTCGGCATCGCCGCCGCCGGCGCGTTGCGCTGCGAGAGCGCGTTGGTCTGAATGGCGGACTTGCTGGGGGAGATTCTGTTCGCACGCGGAAAGGGGGAGGGGGAAGGGAGAGACACACAGGGTGGGAGAATTGAAGGGTTGTTGTGCAGCGGGGCAGGGCAACACAGGTTATACCGCCATGCTTGAGTGACTGCAGGCCAAGGCGACTACTCTAGCGTCAACGTGCGCTCGAAACAGCATTACGGTCTGCGCGAAACTACCTCAAGGTCTGCCCGGCGAGGACTTGGCCGTCCAACGAGAGCGCGGCGAGCGCGGACTGCTGCGCGGCGAACTCGATCCACGCCGTGCGCGGGTTGCTCGTGCCCGCCGTGCGCGCGGCCGTCACGGTGCCGCACACGCCGAAATACTCCACCAGCATCGCCTCCGTGATCTGACCGGGGAAGCGACGTGCGGAAGGGGAAAAGGTGGGAGGAAGATATATGCTAAAGTAAGAAAGGAGGATACGACGACGATCAATAGGGACGCTAAGAAGACTACGTCGCACAAATACAAGCATGCTATGTTTTGATTCAAGAGGCTAGTTCAATACTCCAGCTGACCTGGATGTCGACATTGCGGACGTGGATGGTCCGCGAAATGCGCTCCTGATCCTCCACGGTGGACCGCTTCCGAGGCGCAGCGCTCACGGCGGGTGTCGCTGCCAGTCCCGCGCCGCCCATAAGCGCAGCTAAGGGGTTCTGCACGGCTGCTGACGCCGCTCCTTTCTGTCATGCCCAGGCACACGAACAACGAAATCAAAGACCGACCTTGGAACAGACGCAAGGTTTAGCTATACGATTTGGGATGAAGTGCGAACACTAAAAAACCCTAACAAGCATAGCGAACTGTCATTCTTCGTCCTGTGATTAAGAGTACGCTGGGTTCACGATGAACGCAAGACGAAACGGTAACGCCAGCGAGACAGATACAAGAGGAGATGGTATGGACGAGCGATGCGTACCCCGGCGTATGGCTTGGAGAGCGAGACGCGGAGATTGCGCGAGCCGACCTGCAGGCCGTCCAGCAAGCACGCTGCGTGCGCCATAACGGAATCGTTGAACTCCACAAACGCGTACCGCGTCTGCATCTTAGGGTCACTGCGACAAGCAGCAAAGGATAAAATAAAAGAATAGTGTTATTTTAAGAAATATGAGCAACAAAAAATCAGGACAACGGACATTCGCAAGGAGCCTTAATTCGATTACTCATATCCACGGTAGCAGATCCAGACCGTAGATCGGATGCATGACCGCTGTAAGCGAAGGAAAACGCAAAACACATCAGAATGCATCGTGCCTTACCCAGCGAGGCGAACGTTGGTGACAGTGCCGAACTGCGAAAAGAGCAGGTAGAGCGTGCTCTCGTTCACGAACGTCTCGAGATTGCCGACGTGGACCGTGCGGTCGCCCATGGCTGCGGTGCGACGAGTTACTTAATATGCGAAGTTAAGCAACGAACGCGGGAACAAGTTCACTAGCACCAGCGTCACGATCCGAACAAATCAGGATGTAGGCTGAAACCTAGAATGTGAGAGTGCCTCCTAAAGCTGAGGTGAATGAATGGAGGCAACGGAGAGGCAGAGGAGAGGGACCAAGGAGTTCGGGCGTGAGTGGGTCTGGTCAACTCACGCATGTTCCGCAAAACCCAGGTTGTTTGGAAAGGAAGAGAAGCCCGACCGTATCGTGGACAGCAAAGCGAAGCATCGAGAACGTCGTGTACTGTATACCATTCATTCGAGTGTACAAGCAATTTGAAATGCATTCCCAAAAAACAACCACTCCCGACGCTCGCCAGGCTGAATCGGACAGCTCGGCCGTCAAGCCGCTACGGATTTGAAGTCCGCACCCGAGACCACTCAGGTTCAGGCAAGCAAGACTGCGCGTTGCCCATTGTGCCCTGAAAGACTGCAGCATTGCGACATAGTGCTCAGTGGGCGCAGGTGTTTTTGTTGCTCCAACATCCACTCGCGTGCGTGAGATGCTTCAGTTGTGCTGGCTTCGCAAATTAGGTCAGACAGAACTCACCTCCCCCACACACACCAAACAGCTCCACTTGCCATACTAACATTTTGGATGTTAGGACCAGCATGAGTATTTCTTTGAGCGTCACACGATGATCTCGAAGTTCCTGGTATAAAGGCATCTGTTTGTCGTGACATTTCAGCCTGTCATGGCGTCGGCACTGTCAAGCCTCGTGTCGCATACGAACCTTCGCTCGCTCCTCATCTTCGCGCTCTTCGCATGCTTCGCCTTCCTCTCCGTGGAGATTGGTTACAATTTCCGTTACACCGCCACCGACGCGCACGTCGCAGCGCACTCCGCGGCGTCCCTGTTGCTCCCGCGGTACCACCAGCAGGCGGCGCAACCGCGGCCGGGGGAGAGCGCGGAGGAGGTGCTGGGGAAGCTGCGCGCGGAGATCGAGAAGCAGCAGCTGCGCACGGCGAAGCGCCAGCTCTTCCGCGACGAGGTGCGCACGCTTATGGACGAAATCGCGCGGCTTAAAGCGAATCATTCGGGGCCAATCAAAGCCGAGGATCTCAAAACCTTCGCCGACATCAGCAACGGCACCGGGGGAGGAGGGGGAGGAGGAGGGGAACTCAGTGGTTCTGATTCCGACGCTGCCGCTGCAGCTGAGTTGGCGAAATGCGAGGCGTCTTTGCAAGAGTGCAGAGAGGGTCTCAGGCAGGCTGGTGGAGCAGAGGGGACGGGAGGGGAGGCCGGGACTAGCAGTGCTGCGGCAACCACTGGCGATGCGGCAACGGCAGGTGCAGTGACCGGGTCTGGTGGTGCTGGGCCTGCTGTGGCGGTTGCAATGAGTGAGAGTGAGATGCTGGCAGCACTGCAGACGCAGTGCGAGCAGCAGCAGATTCTGAACGAGCGGCTGCAGCAGGAGAGAGAGAGGCTGGCGGCTGCAGTGGCGCACTACTCAAGGAACACCACAGACTGCAATGACACTGTTTCCAGTGATGATGCCCTCCGGGCAGCCCGGAAAGCAATCGAAGAGTGTGGCCGGGCGGCTGTGCAAGCGCGGGAGAGCGCCATTGGTGGCGGGTACAGCAGCGGACAGCTTTCAGCTGCCCGGATTCGTGCCACGTCGTGCAGTGCAACAGACGAGGAGCTGCTGAAATACCTGAACTATTCTCCAAAGAAACCCTGTCCAGATGACTGGTACTTTGTCCAACACCTCATCTTCGTCCGCAACTGCTTCTGCCTGCCGCGCCGACGCTGCTTTGCCGCGGCACCCCCGGATTACCAAGAGCCAAGCATCCCCTTCCCGCAGTCTGTGTTCGACCCGCGTGCTCTGCTGGATGCGAACGTGCGGTGGGACCTGCACCGCTGCAAGTCTTACTCATGCATCAACTCACGGCTGCTTGGGGATTGCCGCGACTGCTTCAACCTTACGCTGGAGGCAAAGCGGTGGAAGAATAACTATCGGGGAGCGGTGACTCTGGTGGAGGTCATGAAGCTGAAGCCGCCAGGGTCTATTAGGATTGGCCTGGATGCTGGTGGGGGTACAGGCAGCTTTGCAGCGGCGCTTGCACTGTACAATGTGACGATTCTGACCACGGCGATGAACACCGAGACGGTGCAAGAAGTGGAAATGGGGTTGCCTTATATGGAGACTATTGCGCAGAGGGGACTGGTGCCTCTGCACGTGCCGCACAAGGCCCGCCAGCCGTTCTTTGACAACACGCTGGATGTGATTCACACGGTGAACAGTATCAAGTACTTCTCCATCCCGGAATTCGAGGAGCTGCTGTTTGAGTGGGACCGGATTCTAAGGCCTGGAGGGATCTGGTGGTTTGAGCTGTTCTATGCACCGGTGTGGGAGATGCCCCTGTACATTGGGGTGATTGAGCAGTTTGGGTATGGGAAGAAGTATTGGAACCTGACGCCAAAAACAGATACAGCTGAGAGGGAGGGTGAACATGTGTACTTGAATTGTGTGCTGGAGAAGCCTAGCCGGAGATAGCAGTAAACCGTACAGCTGTGAGTATAGATTATTTGTATGTTTTCATACCAGACTCTGGAATTTATTATCCAAATAATAGTTGCTGTACTATCAGAAGGATCTGTCTGCATTTGCGTTTTTGGATAAGGCTAGTCGCACTATCATCGATAATCGCATCGCAGCCGTTCATCGCTCGTGGTATCTCGCCAGAGTTCCCGAGGTCAACATGGTCAGGTCACTCGCCTAGATTTTGGATTTTCCCCCCACCATCACTCTTCTAGAACAAATTTCTTGCCCCCCAGTCCCACCTTGTCCAATTGCTCTGCAACATAGCTTCCTAGTTGTCTTGTCTTTCTGGGCCTCACTCTAAGAATCATCGGCTGTGAGGTCTGTTCCCTCTATACGGATTAGCATCTGTCGCGCGTGACTGACATGGCTTCTGTCTGCCACGTCAGCCTCTTGCCACAGACGCTCAGTGCACAACTGAGCGCCTCGGAAAGCACCCCGTTTTCTGCCAGCTCCCACATTCCCTCCCTACTACCGTCTCGCAGACCGTCCCGTGCACTGCGATGGCACGCATGGCGAAGTTATCCCGACAGCCATGATAAGCGCGGTAGTCAAAGTCGAAAACAGGGCGTCGCTCTGAGCGTCAGGGTGAAAGCCAGCGACGGGGGAGACGGAGCAGCGCCGGTTGCGGGGACGGCCCCGGATATGGCGGTCCCGCGAAGCGCGGAGCAGGCGGTGAATCAGGGGCTGGAGTTGTACAAGAAAGGGCGCGTCCGCGACGCGCTGAGGCGGTTCGAGATGGCGCTCGAGATGAAGCCCTCCGAGGAAGAAGCGCAGGCCGCGCTCTATAACAAGGCGTGCTGCCATGCTTTCAGGTAGCGCCAGGGCCATATAACGTAAATTCGCAAGTTAATAGAGCTAGTGGCACTGGGATTTCCGCATTAAGCATTTCTTTGGTCGCACGCGGCCAGATGATTGGACTTCGAGTGCGATTATACCGTGACCTGACGTGGCGCGGGTGACGTGGCGCGTGCAGGGAGGAAGGCGTGCAGGCGCAGGAGGCGCTGCGCGAGGCTCTGCGGTACGGGCTGCAGTTCAGCGTCATTCTGAGCGACCCGGATATGGCGGCGTTCCGCGCCATGCCGGAATTCAGAGCGCTTCAGGAGGAGGTGAGGGGCAATGGATGGGGTGGATGGGGGGTTGAGTGGAGGGGGTTGAGTGGAGGGGGGTGAGTGGAGGTTGGATAGGGAGACACTGTAAAGGCGCACCGGGGTTTGGAAGAGAGTTTAGGCGAGGAAAATAACCAGACTTGGGTGTGGTGATGCTTGCAGGGGGGGAAAGGATTGGATAAGAGCTGATGTGCGGGACACTGCCCACCCTTCCTTCCTGCTCTCTCCTCCCCCTCTCCCATTCCAGGCAAGGCAGGGCGGCGAGGAAGTGGGCGGCAAGTTTCGGCGGGACTTGAAGCTGATAGCAGAGGTGCAGGCACCTTTCAGAGGAGTGAGGAGGTTCCTGTACGTGGCGCTGGGCATGGCTGCTGGCATCGCCACCGTCATCACCATCCCCCGGTTCATCCTGGCCGTCCAAGGAGGGGTGGACGCCCCGGATCTCCTCACCACTGGTGGCAACCTGGCCATTGATCTGGGAGGTGAGGGTGCTGTGCGATGAAGAGCGGTGCTGCGAGGTGCAGACTGGTTGAGGCTGGGGTGCGTGGAAGAGTGGTGATGGAGGTTGCAGTCTTGCAGATGAAGGAAGAGGGCAGAGAGGATGGGGGTGAGCTGAGTGTTTTCATGGAGCTTTTTCCATGCGGGCTTATCTGCGTTCATTTCTCTCCTTCTTTCCCTGATGATCTCCTGCCTGGCGTCTACCCCCTTCCCCTCCCCTCACCTCCAGGTGGGGCGGCGATGGTGGGGCTGTACCTGTGGGAGCAGCGGCGAGAGGAGGAGCAGATGGGGCGCGTGTCACGCGACGAGACGCTCTCCCGCCTGCCCCTCCGCCTGCAGTCAGGCAAGGTGGTGGAACTGGTGCAGCTCAGAGGCACCACACGCCCGGTGAGTGAACGAGAGGAGAGGGAAGCGGGTGCTTGAGTGGCAACAGGTTCCTCTCGCCTGCCTCTCCGGCTGCAGTCGGGCAAGGTGGTGGAGCTGGTGCAGCTCAGAGGCACAACAAGGCCGGTAAGAGAGAGAGAAAAGCAAAAGCGGGTGCTTGAGTGGGGATGCTTGAGTGGCAACAGGTTCCTCTGCCTGCCTCTCCGGCTGCAATCTGGCAAGGTGGTGGAGCTGGTGCAGCTCAGAGGCACCACACGGCCGGTGAGTGCGAGCGATGGAAAGCGGGTGCTTGAGCGGGGGCTGTGACACACTCTCTCTCTCGCTCGCTTGCCTCTCTGGCTGCAGTCGGGCAAGGTGGTGGAGCTGAGACGCTGGAGTAGGGAGGCGGTGCACCAGGCGATGACTTTTCAGTTGCAGTCCCAGCTTGGGGACTGGAGCTGCAGTCCCAGCTTGGGGACTGGAGCTGCAGTCCCAGCTGTCCCAGCTTGTGGGGACTGGAGCTGCAGACCCAGCTTGGGGACTGGAGCTGCAGTCCCAGCTTGGGGGGACTGGAGCTGCAGTCCCAGCTTGGGGGGACTGGAGCTGCAGTTTTGCCCTGCTCTGCCCTGTCCTGCCGTGCTGTGTGCGTGCAGGTGATTGTGTTGGGGCACAGGGAGTCGGTGCAGCAGGCGATGACTTTTGAGTCAACTCAGAGGCCGCCCTGCTCTGTCCTGTCCTGCCCTGCTGTGTGCGTGCAGGTGTTTCTATCGGGGTGCAGGGAGATGGTGCAGCAGGCGATGAAGCGCGCGGAGGGAAGTCGCTTTTGAGAATTCTTGATCGTACTGTGTGCGTGCAGGTGATTCTGTCGGGGCGCAAGGAGGCGGTGCAGCAGGCGATGAAGCGCGCGGAGGGTAATCGCTTTTGAGAATTCTTGATCGTGCTGTGTGCATGCAGGTGATTCTGTCGGGGCGCAAGGAGGCGGTGCAGCAGGCGATGAAGCGAGCTGAGGGGTACCGCAAGCAGCTGCAGGAGCGTGGCGTGCTGCTCGTGCCCGTGCTGCAGAGCAAGGGCGGTGGCGTGCTGGCAGAGAGCAAGAAGAAGGGGTTTGCTGCTGTCAAGAAGCCTGCTGCCACGCTGGAATCCCTGGTGAGATGCAGCAGCAGCGACTGGTGCTTTGTTAAAGTGCAGCAACTGCAGCTGGATTTCAGTCTGAGCTTAGCTGACTGGGGCATTCACTTCTCTTTGTTTCATTGTTTTCTGTTCCCTGGGTTCCCTTGCTCTTCCCTTCTTTCCTTAGTGCAGTGTGAAAGTGTTTGCCCGTTGATTGCCTGCTCCTTGCCACTCATCGTGGTCCACCCAACCACCCGAGTGCGACTGGCAGGAGGAGTTTGAGGAGAAGGCGAGGGAGGCGGCGGCAAAGAGAGTGGCAGAGGCGGACAGACGACTCAAGGCTGAAGTCGTGTCTCCCGGGGAGTGGGACCAGTGAGTGGGGTGGGGAGGGGGAAGGGGGGTGACAGTGAGCGGGGAAGGCGAGGGAGGCGGCAGCAAAGAGAGTGGCTGAGGCAGACAGACGGCTCAAGGCTGAATTTGTGTCACCGGGGGAGTGGGACCATTGAGTTTGTTGGGGATGGAGGGGGGAGTGGGACAGGGAAGTTGGGGGGGACATGGGGGGCAGTGAGTTGGGAAGGCAGAGGGGCCAAGGAGGCAGGGAAACCAGTGAGTGGGGGGGGGGCAGGAGGGAGTGGGATTAGTGAGAGGGAAAGCACATGATTATGCTATACATGCACAAGCACACACGGAGCTTGTTTACGAGCCTGCATGTGCATGCTATCATGATTCAACCGACCAAATCATGTACACTACTCATCCTTTCCCCTTTTTCTCCACCTCCCTTTTGGGAACCTTTGAAAATCGTTTATCACACATGGCACGGCATGTCCGTTAAATGCCATGGCATGGCATGGCGCCTGTGGTCAGATGGGTGCGGTCGCAGCAGAAGGCGGAGAAGGTGGTGGAGGGCAGCGATGCCTTCATCGTGCTGCGACTGGACGGCCGAGTCAGGAAATCAGGCACTGTGAGTCGCCGCCCGCTTCTGCTGCTGCCTTATTTACTTGGTCCAATCTCGTCTTTCCCCGGCTGACTTCAGCCGTGATCATGCGCGATCCATGGTTTCCTCTGTCGCTGTAGCTTCTGTCCACTATTGCTTGTGTCCTCTCCCTCACTCTCGCTCACTCACTCTCACTCTCCCTCACTCTCACTCTCCCTCTCTCCCTGCAGGGCATGCCTGACTGGGCGGATCTCATCAACGAGCTACCTCCTCTTGACAGCCTAGTCAGCAAGCTTGAGCGCTGATTGCCATCCTGCTTGCCGGTTGCTCGCTCAACAAGGTGATTTAGTACAGCATTTAGCAGAGTTAGTGTTATAATATAGTCAGCTCCAGTGTGCCCTTGAGGATGTGCCACTAAAGTGTGGGTTTCCAGCTTGAAATGGTTCACAAACAGACTTCAGAAGCTTCCGGACAAGCATGCCAACGTTGCAAGAATGTTCCTGACATGACACCGTATACAACCCAACTAAAAAATCCAACTAGCGCTTCATATGGAACGGCAGTCAGTAGGAGGCATTTTCCTGTGATTATGAGATGATGCTCTGTTGTTTGACGTAGTGGTACCACATTGAGGTAGGAACTCAATACACTGATGAATCCGGTGTTGGTCATTTTGCAATAATAAGAAGTTTGGCGAGGCGAAAGAGGATGTAGGAAATGGGTGCACTGAAGGCAGGAGCAACGAGTTTGTACAAAACGAGTACAATTTCGCACAAATCCGCGCGCAATCATGCACCTCAAGATGCGACGTGGAGTTCCCAATGTACGCCAGCAGAGAAGCTATGGCTGCCAGCCCAGCTTCGAACCGCATTCCGGCAATCAGATTGACTCGTTAGCGGAGTCGGATAGAAGCGAAGCGATGTCGTATATAGAGGCGAGAAGGATGGTACTTCATGACCATCGCAAGCAGTAGGCGTTCAAATTTCTCCCCAAGCATCTTGATCATCGCATTTCCCTACCAATCCTGCTTGTCATGGCTTCCAAGTACGAGAAGGCGCAGGAGGTCAGAGAGGCTTCAGCAGAAGAGAAAAAGGTAATTCAACTTGCATTTTATTGCCCTGAAACCCGCGAAGGATCGTTCAACGTCTCTGGTCTGACGTCCTCTCGAGTCTGCTCGTTGCGGTGAGGGCTTGGCTTGGACTGATTCGCATTCCTTCCGCGGCTGACGCTCTTGTTGCACCGCAGGAGCTTGAGGGGCGCGTGAAGGAAGGCGAGACGGTGGTGGAAGGGGGAACTGGCGGCAAGTCCCTGGAAGCTCAAATCAACCTGGCTCAAGGTGAGGCGTGGGCGAAGCTTTTGCTCTGACAGGGTGAACCGTGCTTTTTTCCTTCATACGTCATGCACAGTCCGTAGTATCCAAAATCCCGAACTATTGTATGCTCTCTGTTGTGTGGGCAGGGAGAAGCAAGGGAGGGCAGTCGACGATGGAGAAGAGTGGCGACGAGGCTCTGCAGTCCAAAGGCATTGACACTAGCAAGGGCCGCTGAAGCTAGCATACCGTAATCAGAAGAATGCTGGCTTGCGCCATCTTTTGGATAAGCTTTTATGGATAGTGACACCGTGTATTCTGTGGTGTATCATAGCTTTAATAAAGAGAATGTACATACGGTTTTAGTGATTTCCAAACTCTTCAGAAATACTAGCTTGTACAGTAATGTGTCCTTCCACAATCAGCTCACATTTTCCTTGGCAAGCTGACCACAGTCCACCCAGCTGCTGCTGCATTCTCCACCACACAGCCACCACTCTCATCCACTCCACCCCCTTCCACCATCTCTTCATCAACCCCTTCTCCCTACCATCCCACACCTTTCCCACCAATCGCTGCACTGGAGACAACACTACCCATGGCACCCATAGGTTGATCGGATCGACCAATGACAGCTGGGGCAGGCTCTGAGCGAGCAGAGGCAGGGAGGGGGAGGATGCGGATGCGGCGGGTGGGGGGGGATCCAGCGTACTGCCAGGCGAGCGGGTAGTCGTTGATCAGCTGCAGCTGCAGGGAGAGGATGTGAGGTGCCCGTGGTAGCAGGTCCACTGCTTGTGCTGCGCTCCCCATCATGCTCTCTGCTGCCATGCGTGCCTCCTGAAAGGGGGGTTGGGTGGATAGAGCTGTCAATTAGAGACATTGGATGGATCAGGATGATTGGAAGAATGGTCGGGTCGTCGTTGATGAGCTGCAGCTGCAGGGAGAGAATGCGGGGGGCGCGTGGTAGCAGATCCACTGCGTGTGCTGCGCTCCCCATCATGCTCTCCGCTGCCAGCCGCGCCTCCTGCGGGGTGGATGGAACCACAGGCACAGGCGGGTAGGATGGAAAGGCAGAAAAACTGATTAGCAAGAGACACAAAGAAGAGGGACTGCCAGGAAACAATTGACCTGCCCGTGAACCAGCCATGCTCTCACTGTAGCCAGGGAACCACAGAGGAGTACTGTCGTTGTGCGGTGCACACAGAGTTGTGGCAGCAGCGCACGGTGGAGTGCGTCTGGCTCACTGCAGTCAGGACTCAGCAGCACCATCATCCCATGGGCCTCACCTCAAGCGCATCAATCTCGTCCTCCAATGAACCTCCGCCAACCCCTCTTGTTGCCCCCTCATCCTCTCCAGCCCTATCCTCCCAACTGCCGCTGCTGCTGCTGGTGCTGCTGCTTCTGCTGCGACTGCCGCTGCTGTTATCGCCACTCTTGCTGCTTTCATCCTGCAAGGTCAACAGCTGGTCTGGTGGTGTAGCTGGTGCAGCAGCAGTGGCGGGAAGGGCCGCGGCACCAAAAAGAGAAGCAGCGGGGGAAGAGAGAGGCGGGGAGGTGGAGAACGAGGAAGTGGAGGGAGGAGGAGAGGCGAGGGTGGGGAGGTTGAGGATGGCACGGAGAGCTCGCACCACCTGAGACGCTGTGTTGGCCTGGGGAGGGAGGGAACCAGGGGTGGGGGGGTGAAAGGGACAAGAAGGTTGGTACACGTGGGCTGGAGGCGTTGAGCATGGGAGGGGAGAGAGGCGAGGGAGGGGAGGTTGAGAATGGCACGAAGGGCCCGCACCACCTGAGACGCTGTGTTGGCCTGGCGAGGGGATACGGAGGGGGTGGGGGAAAGAGAAGGTTGGTAGACGTGGGATGGAGGCATTGAGCACGTGAGGGAACAGAGGCCAAGACATGATATGCAGGTGCCACCTCTGGAATCTGCCTCACCCCTCTCGACCCTGCCTCACCCCTCTCCTGGACGCCCGAGCCCACCTTGACAGCGTAAATGGGCAGGTGGCGGAACTTAGTGACCCCTCTGAGCCACGTGTTGCCCTTGACCTTGGAGTGCAGTGCCAGCACCTCTCGACCCTGCCTCATCCCTCATTAAAGCCCACCTTAACAGCGTAGATGGGGAGGTGGCGGAACTTGGCCACCCCTCTGAGCCACGCGTTGCCCTTGAGCTTGGAGCGCAGGGCCAGACCCTGCTTCCCCCAATCTCGACCCTGCCTCACCCCTCAGTAAAGCCCACCTTGACGGCATAGATGGGCAGGTGGCGGAACTTAGCCACCCCTCGCAGCCACGCGTTGCCCTTTAGCTTGGAGCGCAGTGCCAGCACGGCGTCTGCTGCTGCAATGTCCGTGGTGAGGGAGACGAGGGGTGTCAGCCCCATCACCTCCACCACCTGCTCCACATGCTCCTCCGATACCTGCAAGCAAAGGAAAGGACATTTACAATTAGCAGTTTTGAAGTACAATAGAAACTAATAGCAGGGCTGTAGCAAGCAGTGAGCAGTATCAAGACTGGCGCCAGCCCCATCACCTCCACCACCTGCTCCACGTCCTCCTCCGATACCTGCTCACACAGCGGAGTGGACAGGTATCACAGGTGGAGGGTAATGCCAATCAACAGAGTCTGATAGAGAAGGTCGCATTTACAGGCCACAGCACAGGCCAAAGCACAGGCGCACACCTGGTTGTTTTTAGAATTCCCAAAAGCGACCTGCTCAGGCATCCAACACAGGCCCACAGCACACCTGGTAGAGGAAGAGCAGCGTTGAGCTGTCGGAACGCGTGGCCTGGGCGAACGCCGAGAGCCCAGCAGGCGCACTGCCTTGAGACCAGGCTGGTGATGCTGCTGATGATGATGGTGGTGCTGCTGATGGTACTGCAGATGATGATGATGCGGAGATGAATGCAGGGATGCTAGTCGCACCGGCACCTGTGCTGGTTGATCTGCTGGCCATGCCACCCCACCACATGGCCGACCTCCCCCACTTCTCATCAGCACCATCGCTATCACTACCACTACCACCACCATCGCCATAAACATCAACATCGCTGCCCTCACTGTCTGTGTCACTGCCGCTGCTCTCCCCGCTGCTGCCACCGCCAGAGGCAAAGCCCAAAGGAGAGGCGGCTGTTCTCCCCGCTGCTGAGGGCGATGGTGCATGCGAGGGCCGTGCGGGACTGCCTCTCTCTCTTTGCCTGCTGCCGCCCTCCCTGGGCTGCGCTGCGTCCCACTCCCTCACACCCATCGCTCCCATTGTTCCCTCACTCCCCAGCCTCTGCCACCCCTGCTCGTCCCATGAACCGGCTCTCGCCAAACCAGTGCCACCGCTGCTGCGGCTGCCACCAGGGATACCACCACTGTTGCTGCTGCTGCTGCCTATGCTGCCTCTGCCGGTGCTATCAGCAGTGCCAGCTATGGCAGCATCGCCATCCACCCACACCTCCCCGTGCTGCCCCATCTCCCGTACCTCCACCGGCGGTGCCTTGCCTGTGAGTGAGGTACCCCATGGGGGAGGGGCATCGGCGAGCGCAAAGGAGGAGAGGGAGACGATGAGAGAAGAGAGAGGATGCGAGAGTGAGAGCATGGGAGAGACGAAGTCGAAACGTGCGGGTTGTGCGAGTCCCCACAACCCTGGTTGTGCATGACTAACATGGTTTAATAGGAGAGGTGTGAAGAGGGATGTGCGAGTCCGTATCGTACCCACACCAGTGCTCGAGGGCAAGTAAGAATAATTTCTCTCCCTTTTCGCCAAGGAGCAATAGACAATATAAAAATGAGCGCTGAATTATCGGAGAGCGGCGAAATAGTGGCGGCAAGGCAGCGGTGCGCGGTCCATTGCCCACGAGAGTGCATCTCCACTTGCGAGTCGACTCGATTATGATTTTCCCTTTTTGAACCAAAGAACAATAGGTCACCTGAGAGCAGCGCGTCAACAGTGGCAGCCAGGCTGCGGTGCATCGTCCATCGGCCACGCGAGTGCATCTCCACTGCCGCTTGGAACAACCTTTGAAACGTCCAGAGGGCAGAGCAGAAGGATGAATTACCTGAGAGCAGCGCGTCAACAGTGGCAGCCAAGTTGCGGTGCACCGTCCATCGGCCACGAGGGTGCTTGCTTCGTACATCTCGACTTTTGAATTGAGTATCATCATTCTCCCCTTTCTCCTAAAAAACCGATGGGTCACCTGAGAGCAGAGCATCGACAGTGGCAGCAAGGTTGTGGTGCACCGTCCAGCGGGCACGGGAGTGCATCTCCACTGCTGCTTGGACCACCCTTTGAAACGTCGTCTCTAGAAGGATGAATTACCTGTGAGCAGAGCATCGACAGTTGCAGCAAGGTTGCGGTGCACGGTCCAGCGGCCACGGGAGTGCATCTCCACTGCCGCTTGGAACACCTTATGAGGCGTTACAGAAAGGATGAATTACCTGATAGCAGAGCGTCAACAGTTGCAGCAAGGTTGCGGTGCACGGTCCATCTCCCGCGAGAGTGCATCTCCACTGCCGCTTGGAACACGGGCGGGCCTCCCCTCTCCATCACACTCTTCTGCACTCCCCTCCTCCTCGCCTCCTCGTCTCCCAGCGTCACTGTCTGCATGCATGGGGGAGAAAGAGGGAAGGAGTGGGGATGAGGGAATGAGAGAAGAACCTCTGTTGCACTACCTGCACCCCTCTCCACCCACCCACACGCCCCCTGTCAGCGAGTGCAGGTGCCGGTTCTCCACAGTGCGGTTTTTGACAACAAGGTGCCTACAAACTCCTTTCAGCCCACCTGCACCCCTCTCCACCCACCTGCACGCCCCCTGCGAGTGTGTGCAGGTGCGGGTTCTTAACAAGGTTCTCCACAGAACGTCCATGCGCCGTGGCAATGAGCTGCACTCCCCGCTGCGCTATCGTGGCCGCTGCTGCCGCCTCCAGCTCCGACCCGATCTCATCAATTATCACCACCTGGGGCATGTGATTCTCCACTGCCTCTATCATCACCTGAAGCAGGGGTTTGCAGGGGAAGAGGGGGTGGGAGGCAGAAGGTGGAGGGAATGTGGCAACACAAGTTAATCGCTGCACACACCATCCCAGCTTCGACCCGATCTAGTCGATTATCACCACCTGTGGCATGTGATTCTCCACTGCCTCTATCATCACTTGGTGTATGGAGAAGGGAGGGGGCGGAGGAGGAATTGTACCAGGGAAACAACGTAGCATGAGATGAGCCATGTGGAGAACATCATGTGATTCTCCACTGTCTATGATCACCTGATGGCACAGGGCGGAAATATTTTTGTGGCAGGGAAAGAGGCGAGTACGTGGCACATGGCACATGGTTCTCCACCACCCATACCGCCAGACACACTCACCCACCTGGTGCTGCAGCTCGACGTGCGGCACTTGCATGCGCCGCGCAGAGCCGATGGCAGCATGCGCGATGTCTCCATCGCCTGCGATCTCATTGCTCGTGTCCACCACCACCACCCGCCTTGCACACTCATCTGCTAGTATGCGTGCTATCTCTCTGCTCAGCACCACAGGGTGTATTGAGCATGCAGGGAGGGAGGGGTATGGGACGTGAGGTGAGGGGCAGAGCCGATGGCGGCATGCGCGATGTCTCCGCCACCTGCGACTTCATTGCTCGTGTCCACCACCACCCGCCTCATGCACTCATCGGCCAGTAAGCTCGCCACCTCCCTGTTCAGTGCAATGGGGAGCAGAGAGAGGTTCATATGGGCACAGTGTGTGGTTGGGGCATGCGACATGCGGCATGAAATTGCTTGACCAGCATCAGCATCACCTCACCACCCTCCGCTCCGCGTGCACCCGTCCGCAAGTATTCGCGCCACCTCCCTGTTCAGCACCACGTCATGGGGCATAGCATAGGTTGTGGAGCATGGGTCACAAAGTGTGGGGCATGGGGCATGGGGCATGGGGCATGGGGCATGGGGTATGGGTGCTCTGCCCGTACTTAATAGCGGTGGTCTTCCCCACGCCCGACGCGCCCACGAGCAGCACAAATCTGTCCCCCCTCCTCCCCCCCCCTCCCCCATTACCTGATAGCGGTTGTCTTCCCCACGCCCGACGCGCCCATGAGCAGCACCGCACCGCCACTCCCCTCTGCCTTTTCACCTTCCCCCCCCCCCCTCTTTCAAACCCCCCTTCCCCCCCTCCTCTATCACCAAAAGGCGGTGGTCTTCCCCACGCCCGGTGCGCCCCCATGAGCACAATCCCCTCTGCTCTCCCTCTCCATTCCCCCCAACACAACCCCCCCCTCCCCACCCATTACCTAATGGCGGTGGTCTTCCCCACGCCAGGCGCGCCCATGAGCAGCACGGACTCCCCTCCCGCCACCAGGTCGCGCACCATCTCCGCGCTGCCCGAGATCGCGCGCCCCACGCGGCACGTCAGCCCGATAATTCTCCCCGCGCGGTTGCGGATGGCGCTGATGCGGTGCAGCGTGCGGTCTATCCCCGCGCGGTTGTCCGCTCCGAAGTCCCCAACCTGCGCGGCGGGAAAGGGGGGAGAGGGAAGGGGGGAGAAGGGGACGAGGGAAGAAGGCAGGGAGGAGAGGGAGACAATGAGGGACGTGGAAGGGACGTGCATGCAAGGGGGGGGGGGTGCTTGCAAGGAAGGTGGTGCGTGGAAGGCGCATGCTGTGAGAGAGATGGCGAGGGGAACGGAAGCGGGCGGAGAGGGAGATAATGAGGGCGCTACCTGCGACACACAGTACTCAATGTCGCCCGCTGTTACCACCTCTTCGCACATGAAAACGTCGCCCAAGGGGAACCGTGCGATGGGCCGACGGCCGAGATCGAGAACGACCTCCACCAGCGAATGGACGGCCGGATGTCGCTGCAGAACGTCGCGAACCTTCCCTGGAAGCATCGTCAGAAGCTTCGTCAGCTCCTCTCCGAATCCCTCGGCCGGCGGAAAATCTAGAACGGCGCGCGGCGTCAGATCAGGGAGGGACGGCCGTGGGGAGAGATCTGGGCCGTCCGTATCGCTGGAAGAAGCGGCGGAGGCGGAGATTGCACGGACGCGCGAGAGTGGCGGGCGGAGCGACACGAGGCAGGACACGCTAGGGGAATCCCGCGCGCCGGGTGAAAACAGAGCGGCAGTGGGAATGGGCGGCGAGGTAGTACTGGGTCGGCAACTGGGAGGCGAGCGACGATCGGCAATACCGAGGGAACGCGCGGCGCTATTATCCCCAGCAGGCGAAAGCGCGCGGGCGAGCAAGTCGGCGGTAATGCCGGCGCTCCACGCGGCCATGGCGGGAGAGACGGGGAGCAGTGGGGGAGGCGAGGCGGGTCGGATGCCGCTGCGACTAGCGACGTACAGCGCGTGCAGGGTTGCGGGAGCGCGAAGCGTGTGGCGTTCTGCAGGCGATCACGCCGTGCGGAATAGAGGCTTCCTCTCAGTGCCTAGTGCCACCTGACGGAACAGAGAACAAGGTTGATACTAGCACTTATGGGAGTGCCACGCTCTCTGGCTGTCCCGTGGCCACGTCACACCGCGAAATTAGCTGCACATTGGTTTTGAGAGGGGGAGACGGGAATGTAATGTGAGGGGGCATGTGTAGGGTGATGAAGACATTCAAGTGTGCTTCATTATTGGCTTCTATCCATCATACCTTTCTCAATGCCGCGTACGAAATTCCGAGTCAAACCAGTTCGCGCTGGCCCTTCCAGAAGGTGCTTCTCCCCCCAAAGGCATTCCCTTTCCAAAGCTGCCACACAGATTCCAGAAGCAAATTCCGTCATTTCCCGCCAAGCGTGCTTGCCCCATCTCGACGGCCTGCATTCCCGACGGCTCTCGCTCGCCACTGCTTGCCCTCATCATCGTTCGCTCTCTGAATAGACTGCTTCCTTCCATCGCTGCTTTCGCTTTTGTCGCTGATCTGTCATTGCGACCACCCCATTAATCTGCTCGCAAGTGCGATCGCATAACTAGTCGCGACTGCGTCGATCGTCGCGATCGCCGTGTCAGTCGTCGCATTCATGGTCGCAGCCATGGCGGCTCCTCGTCGAATCGCCATGTCGCCGAAGCTGCTCGCCGCGTTCGCCGTCGCGCTGCGCCTCGTCGCTCTCGCCGCCGCCATGTTCGCGCCGGACGGGTAAATCGCCGCCTGTCATTCGAATCGCATGAGCGCAATTTCTGAAATGCGCGCATCGCTTGAAAACGCGCGCGTCGGTTTGAAATGTGCGGACTTCCATACTTTCCATACCTGCCATACCTGCCATGCCTGCCATGCCTGCCATGCCTGCCATACACCCTCATATCCCCCCATGCGGCCCCCACTGCCCCCATGCCTCCGTCCCGCCCTCTCCCCCCCGCCCCTTGCGCGGCAGCAACGTGGCATCGCTGGATTCGGAGAGCTTCGCCGCCCAAGTGCTCGCGCAACCCGCCGTCTGGCTCGTACGTCCCTCGTCCCATCGCCTCTCCTCACCCCTCCTCACCCCTCCTCGCCCCTCCTCGCCCCTCCTCGTCCCTCCTCGCCCCTCCTCTCCTCTTTCCTCCTCATCCTCTTCTCTTCTCTTCTCTCCCCTCCACTCCACTTCGCTGCACGATGCCGGGATAGCGTTGCTTTCGGGACTCTATTGCCTCTGTGACCCTCTCCTCCACTCCCGCTCCTCCCTCCCGTTCTCCCCCACTCCCATTCCTCCCCTCTCCCGCCCTCCACTCATAACCGCCCTTACCGCCCTTTTACCTCCCATCCTGCGACCTTGTGCGTGGCGCCAGGTGGAGTACCACCAGGACCAGTGCGAGCCGTGCATGCAGTTCGCGCCCCCTTACCGCCCTCCCTTCCCCCACCCCCTTGTCCCTCCCCACCAGGTGGAGAACCATCAGGACAAGTGCGAGCCGTGCATGCAGTTCGCTCCCCCTTAACCGCACTTACCGCCCTTACTGCCCCCCCCTCTCTCCCCCCAATCTCTCCCCTCCCTCTCCCCCCTCACCAGGTGGAGTACCACCAGGACAAGTGCGAGCCGTGCATGCAGTTCGCGCCCGAGGTCGCCAAGGTCGCCGACTCGCTCAAAGGGCTTGTCAAGGTGCGTTGTGCACGCCGGAAGGGGGTTGTGGGGCGCCGGGGGGGGTGTGGGTGGGGTGGCATGTGGGGACATGTGGCCGATGAGACACATTGAACTCCTTTGATGGCACATACACATGCCAGGGTTAACCCTTCACCTCTCGCGCACTTGCTAGCCCCCTCTGCCTTTTCCCTTCTCTTCCCTCCCACCATTCTCTCCACCACCTCCCTCCCACCCAACTTCTCCCCCGCACTTTCTCATCTTCCCGCCCTCTCCCTCCTTCACCCCCCTCCTTTCAATCTGTCTGCACCCTGTCAGGTGGGAGCCATCAACTGCAACAAGGCACCGGACGTGTGCATGCAGGCGCAGATCAAGGTGCGTGCTGCTCTTTCCACCCTCCTCTCCGCAGCTCTGCTGTGCAAAGCATTAGGGGTTGCTCTCAATCCACCTGTTTGCCTTACCATGTTTCCTTCCCCCCCCACCGTTCCTTCGTCCCATCAATGCGCCCCTCCATTTTCTTCGCTTTCTCCCGCGTTCCCCTCTCCTCACCTCGTCTCCCGCCCCCTCTCCGCTCCCCTCCTCACCCCGACCATGTATCTTCAGGAACTGCCTGCATTCAGGGTGAGTTTACTTCCCTATCACGCCCAAATTTGGAGAAGGGGAATGGGAGAGTGTGGGGAAAGGAGGGGATGCTTGTATGTTGACACACACTTTGTGATTTTCAGCAGCAATGGCTCTTCCCTTGTCATCCTGTTTCCTGTCTCGCATCCGCACCACCACTAGCCCTTCCCCTCCCCCAGCACCTCCCGTCCCACCACCACAAGTCTCTCCCTTCCCTCCTCGCCTCTCTCATCTCTCACGCGCATACCTCTCTCCCTCGTGTCCCTCTCGTGTCCCCCACAGCTGTACCCATGGGAGGTGAAAGCCAATCCCTACACGCACAAGCGCTACAAGGACGCGCCTCAGGTGTTCACTGGAGACAATACCGCCAAGGCACTCGTCAGCTTCGCCACTGGTGAGCTCCTGTCCTGCCTCTCATCCCCGTTCCCCGTGTGTTGTGAGTCGACTCGAAGCACACAAGGGCGCGCCTCAGGTGCTCACTGGAGACAACACTGCCAAGGCGCTCGTCAGCTTTGCCACTGGTGAGCATTCTTTTCCCCGCACCGTGCTTTTCCTCTGCATACCCTGCCTCTCCTCGCACCTTGCTTACGCTCTCAAGTCGTACAGCCATTCGTAACTCATATTGGCGCGCCCACGGCTATTCATGCCGTCAACTCCATTCGTGCCACACCAACTTCAACGTCCCCATTGCCCTCCAGAGATTTAGTCTTCCCACCTCCCCATCCTCCTCTCCTCGTCTCCCCCCAACCCCCTTGCCATCCCATGCTGTCCGCTCCGCCCTCCCCCAGCCGCCCTGCCACATGACCTGGTGGCAACTCTGGCAACATCTTCTCTGGCAAATCTGCTCACGCTTTCCCCCATTTTTGGCTCTCCCATCCTATCCCGCTCTACTTCCTGCAACGTGCATTGTTGTGCTCTCCTCTCCGCCCTCCCCCAGCCGCCCTACCACACGACCTGGTGGCGAACATCTCCTCTGGCGCCTCTGCAGATGCCTTCCTTGCTGCCAACGCCACCCTCAACAAGGTTCCACTCCTCCCGCCCTGCTATCTATCCCTCCCGCCCTCTCCTTTCGTATGCCTCCTGCCCTCCCCTTCCACTCCTGCATCTTCTCACTCCACCTCCATTGCCTCTGCCGCGCTGCTCCCATAGCAGCAGTCACAGAATAAAGCCACGTGCACGTTTTAGTAGAATCAGACGTGCCATAGCAGCAGCGGTAGGCACAAACCTTCTGCAACCAGGGCCCGACACCACAACTGCTTCGTGTCCCCCTGCTCCCCAATGCCGCCCCCACTGCCCGCCATCTCCTCTGCCTGCCGCCACACCATGCCTGCCAGGTGGTGCTCTTCTCCACCAAGCCCGCTGTCACGCCACTCTTCAAGGCCACTTTTGAGTCGACGCAAAAGTCACATGCCCACCGTTCCTCATGCCCCCCATGCCCGCCATGCCCCCCATGCCCGCCATGCCCCCCATGCCCGCCACACCATGCCTGCCAGGTGGTTCTCTTCTCCACCAAGCCCGCTGTCACGCCACTCTTCAAGGCCCTCTCGCTGCAATTCAGGTGCGACCTCGCTTCTTTGCTTTCGCTGCTGTTGCCTTCCACTGCCACCTTCCATCTCTCCTTCTCCTGACACCATCGTTCTCCCTGCCCTTCCTGGGGCTCTCTCGCCTTTTGTGTCTTGCACGGCATGGTGCACGGCATGGCTTATGGCATGGTACATGGGGCATGGCAGGAAGCGGCTGGTGTTTGCGCAGGCCAAGTCGACTGATGAGGCTCTGGCGGCCTCCTTTGGCGCCGCCTCCTTCCCCGCGCTCTTTCTCCACAAGGTGCCCTGCAACCTCCCTCACACCCCCCCACACCCCCTTTCACACACCCCTCCCCATACCACCCCTCACATCCCCCCACACCCCTCTCGCACCTCCCCTCGCACCTCCCCTCACACCTTGCTTCGCACTATCAGCCCCACCTCTTCCCTCCTCCCCGTGCTCCTGCCCCTTTCTCCTGCCCTGCCCCTCTCTCCCAAGCTCCTCATACCCTTCCCCCACCAGGTGCCACCTCACTGCTGATGAGCATCCCGTAATTGTTTTCGTCTACTCACACCCACCAATCCCCCCTTCTCTCCCCTTCCCCCCTCCACGCCAGGCGGACGGCACCAGGCAGCTCTACGACGGCCCGCTCAAGCCCGAGCCAATCGCGGCCTTCCTCGAGCAGTTCGCCGCCCCGGCTGAGCCCGTCGCTGACTCAGCGACAGCTGGCGAGGCGGAGGCGGGGGCGGCGGGGGAGGAGAGGCAATCGCGGTGGGTGCGGCAGATGAGGGCAGCGAATGTGAGCAGCCAGGTGCTGCAGCGCGAGGAGATGTGGATGGTTGCTCTCACCTCCTCTGCCCGTGAGTGCGATGTTGTTGTTGTTTCTGGCGCTCTCACTTGGTGCTAAGGTCAAGATGATGGCACTCGGCCCCTCTGCTGCTGAGATGTGCATGCGCTTCCTCACTCTCTCACTTTCTCTGTGCCACGCCTCTGTGCCACGCCTCTGTGCCGTTGTCGCCTGCTGAGTGTGGTGCAGAGGAGTGCAGGGAGGTGAAGGAGAAGTTTGAGAAGACAGCAGAGGAGCTCGTGGGCATGGTAAGGCATGGGCTTAAACCAACCAACCACTAGTGCACTGCACATGGCGTGGCATGCTCTCTTAACATCGTATACGCTCTCTGTATGACATGCTGTTGGGCATGGATGGTATGGTATGGGAGCAGCATGGTATGTGCATGGGGTATCTATGCTGCCCACAGTCTCTCACTCTCTGCTCTTCCTCCTCACTCCTCCTCCCCCTTCCTCCCCCTTCCCCCCCCCTGTCTGCATGGCAGATCTTTGTGGGAGTGGTGGACACGCACACGGATGAGGATGCCACGAGGTAAGTTTCCTCGCATCTTTGTGCCTGCCTTGTGCGTGCCCTGCCTGCTTTTGAGACGTCTAAAAGTCATGCCACGAGCACATCTTTGTGGGAGTGGTGGACATGCACACGGATGAGGATGCCACGAGGTAAGCCCCTTGAATCGTTGTGCCTGCCTGCCCTGCTCGCACGCCACTCTCTCCCTATCCTGTCGCCCAGCAGACTACTTGGAATGCTCGTTGGCACCTGCTGCTGCTGCTCTTTGCCCTTCCTCCCCTTCCCAATTTCTGCCTTTTCTCCCTTGCTCATTCCTGTCCCTCCTCCTCCCTCCCTCCGCCCTCCACCTCCCCCAGTCTAGCAACCAAGTATGGGGTGAAGGAGCCGTGTGGAGAGGCGCTGCTCTTCCCCTTGGGAGACGACAAGGAGGAGAACGAACCTGATGTGAGTTCACATGACATGCCAGGAATGATGGCACCGTAAGGTAAGTTCTTTGACATTGGTCCAGTGCGCCGCCAAGCGTAGGGCCACCTTCCCACTGGCATGCACCATTTTCCACCCATCTGTGCCATGTCAACATGCGAGTTCCTTTCTCACCCCTTCTCATTCCTTCTCCTCATTGCTTTCCCTTACCCTTCCCCGGCCCCACCAAAGCCATCCCCCATCAGCGCATGCCCCTCACCTCCTCTCTGAGAGCAGGGTGTATACGCTGGCCCTTGAGCGTCTTTTGACACCCTTTTGCGCTTCACAGCTTCCTTAGAGAATTGTTGTAATGCTGGGCGTGCAATGACGGCTTTCCGACCCCATTTCCCCACCCCCCTTCTCTCCCCTCACCCCCCACCAGCGCATGCCCCTGGTGGCATCTCTCAAGGCCATGACAGCAGCGGTGTATGCGCTCACGCCCGACTCCTTTGTGACTCATTTGATCCCTTCCCTTATCTCCCCCATCCCCCCTAACCCCTCCCCTCCCCCATCCCCCACCAGCGCATGCCCTTAACGGCATCCCTGAAGGCCATGACAGCAGCGGTGTACGCCCTGGCCCCCGACTCCTTTGTGCGCCATATCACTGCTGACTCGCTCGAGGTCACACCCCCCGTCCCCCCCCCCCCCCCCCACCTGCTCCCCCATCCCCCACCAGCGCATGCCCCTGTCGGCATCCCTCAAGGCCATGACAGCAGCGGTGTACGCCCTGGCCCCCGACTCCTTTGTGCGCCATATCACTGCTGACTCGCTCGAGGTTTTCGCTCAGACCAACCCGTTGCAGCCCAAGGTGGGCATGGGATGGGGGCAGGGTGAGGGTGGGGGCGGGGGGTTGGGGGCAGGGTGCTGGCAGGGACAGGGGGGTGGAGGCACAGTACGGACGGGGGCGAGGGTAGTGTGGATGCAGGGTGGAGGGCCAACCATGCCGTACAGCTTGTGGCACACAAGGTCCCTTGCGCGTAAGCCGTGACGTACCACTTCTGACACGATGCAAGTGCTGCTCCTCCGTGCCTCGCCACGCCCGTTCGTTCCTCCCTCCCACCCACACATGCCTTCCGTGCCTCCCATGTGTGCGCTGCCCTTCCCGTCCCGCCTTGGCAGGTGTTTCTGTTCACGAATAAGAGGGAGACACCTGGCATGTACAAAGTGCTCTCCACCACCTTCCGCAAAGATGCTTCCTTCGCCCTGGTGCGTGCTTCCTTGCTCTATCCTGCTCCCTGGTGCGTGCTTCCTTGCTCTATCCTGCTCCCTGGTGCGTGCTTCCTTGCTCTATCCTGCTCCCTGGTGCGTGCTTCCTTGCTCTATCCTGCTCCCTGGTGCGTGCTTCCTTGCTCTATCCTGCTCCCTGGTGCGTGCTTCCTTGCTCTATCCTGCTCCCTGGTGCGTGCTTCCTTGCTCTATCCTGCTCCCTGGTGCGTGCGCCTCCTCGTGTTATCCCTTCATTTCTCAGTCACTCATTCGCACCTCACACTAAGCGTGTTTGCCCTGCAACCACAAACATACCTGGACTGCGTGCGTGCTTCTCGTGTGCTCGCTGTTCGACCTGGTAGTCCCTTGGTGTTGCTCCATGGTCCCTCTTGTTCACTGCTCACTCCCTCACTAACCTGTGGCATGTCAATCTTCTCGTGCTCCTCACGCCCCTTTCCCCCCACATACCTTGCATCCGCTCCACCCCTCCCACCAGGTGCACGAGAGTGAGAAGAAGGTTGTTGCTCGGTTCAAAGTTGCCAAGTTCCCCCACGTGAGTGCTCTGTGTGCATGGGAGCCCTGTGCTGCATCCATGCCAGCACATCCGATACCATGCTCATCCACTGCTCTCATCTCACACCTTGTACACACCTGTCATCGTCCCCTTATCACTCCAGTCCCCACATTTTCACACACCCCCTCATAAACCCCTCTCCTCCCCTCTCCACCCATCGTCACCACTCTGCACCGCTGAGCAGATGTCGATAATGTTCCCGGCGCCCAGTCCAGGGAGGGAGGGCGAGGTGCAGCTGACGGTGCGCGACTTCCCCGGCCCGCTCAAGTACCACACTGTGGCGCCGCAGCTCATGCAGGTGGGGTTGGGTGGGGTGCGGTACTGCGCATGTCGCATGGCAAGTACGATGCAGGTGGGGTGGAGGGTGCGAGGTGCAGCTGACGGTGCGCGACTTCCCCGGCCCCCTCAAGTACCACACTGTGGCGCCGCAGCTCATGCAGGTAAGGGGTGGGGGGTTGCATGTCATGCAGCTCATGCAGCTCTTGCCATGTCACATGCCAAGCGCGATGCAGGTGGGGTGGGAGGTGTGACGTGCAGGTGGGTACCACACTGTAGCGCCGCAGCTCATGCAGGTGGGGGTGGGGTGTGGCAGGTAGCTGCACATGTCACATGCCACCACATGGTACGTGGTTGTGCTGCCACCACATGGTACGTGGTTGTGCTGCCACCACATGGTACGTGGTTGTGCTGCCACCACATGACATCTCCACCCGTGCCCGTCCCCTTCCCTCTTTTCTCCTCGCTGTCCCAGTTGGTGGCCACAGCACGGCAGTTTGCGGCGCCAACAGCGGAGATAGTGGCATTGGGGGAGGGCAAGGAGGGGCACGAGGATGCCTTTCAGACAGAATGTGTTGACTCCAACCGGTACGTTCTAGGCTGCGCTTATCAGCCCTTGAATGTTATTTGCTTGCCAGGCGACACTCCTCTTGCTTCGCTGCATGCCTTCCCTCCCTTGCACACTGGGCACCCCCAAATGCTGTGGCAGGCGCACTTACCACCTCTGCCCTCTCCCACCTTTCCTCTCGCTCAACTCTCCTCTCTCCCACCTCTCCTCGCCCTTACCTCTCCTTGCAGGCTGTGTGTGATTGGTCTATTCAACACCGACTCCCCTCTCGACCAGCTCAAGCGGGTGGCAGCCAAATGGCTGCGGGGCGGCCAGTTTGTCTTCATGTGGCTGGACGCCGGGCGGCACAAGGCGTTGGCATCTCGAGTGCTCCCCCTGCTAGGCGTGAACCAGCAGGACCTGCCGACGGCGGTGGTGGTGAGCCCGCGCAAGATGCGCTGCGCCGCGCTGCCAGAGGCCTTCTCCCCGCCCATCCTCGACGCCTTCCTCGACTCGCTGCTCGCCGGCCGCGTCCGCACCTTCGCGCTTGATGTGAGTGGGAGACGCTCCTTCTCCTTGCGTGTGAGGAGGCGTTTCTAATTCATTCCGTACCGTTCTCTTCTGATAACGTTGAACACCTGAGACACTCTTCTCCTGAATTCACCTACCCCAAGTCAACCCTAGTCATCTCCCTCTTCTCTGTTTCCCTCTCCTCCTCGCTGCTCCCCTCAACTCCCTCCTTCCCTCAGCGCCTGCCATCGTTCCTGCCGGGCCCCTCAGTGGAGTCTTCCCCAGCATCAGAGGCACCAGAGGAGGCAGCAGAGCCAGAGCCGATTGCAGAGGAGGTGGGTGCCTGCTGCTGCTGCTGCTGCTGCTGCTGCTGCTGCATGTAATCCTCAAAATCTTTCTGTCTCTCCTTGGGCCCATGTGCCTGTCGGACCATCCGTCTCGCTTTTCCACACCATCTCACACCATTCGCACCTCGTCGCACCCAATGGTACTTGCACTCTCCCTTTATCTCCCTCATCCGCATGTCCCCTCTTCACATGTCCCCTGTTTCGACTGTCCCCTCATATGCATGTCACTTTGCTCGCATGGCATCACGCGCCCACGCTGCAACATCCACACGGGGCAGGAGTTTGATCTGGCGGACATCATGAGCGAGCAGGTGGAGGACGCCGATGCCGTCGCCTCCAAGGAGCACAAGATTCTGCAGGTCAGTGCATTGTGGCCCTGTTTTGCATGTTACGTCACCTTGTGGCGTGCACGTTGTGGCGTCCACACGGGACAGGTGGAGGATGCCGACACCGTCGCCTCCAAGGAGCACAAGATTCTGCAGGTCAGCGCATGGTTGACGTTTTGCCCCTGTTGCCATGGTAGGTCAGCGCATGGTGGCCATGGTAGGTCAGCACTTCGCCCTTTGACCCCTGTTGCCATCTCAACTTAGCATGTTGCCATGGCAGGTCAGCACTTCGCCATCACAGTGACTCCTTTGCTCATGCGTTACTTACTTCTCACTCACCCCCCTCCTCCCTCCCTCCCCTTCCTCTTTCCTCTCACATGGCAGGCCGACAAGGAGGCAGAGGAGGAAGCAGCCAGGAAGGCAGCAGAGGCGGAGGCAGCAAAGAAGGCATCTAAGAAGAAAAAGAAGAAGAGCAAGACCAAGAAGAGCAAAGCCGTGGACTCGGATGTTAGGGATGAGCTGTAGCTAGGCTATAGATGGGCTGTAGCTGGGCTGTAGCTGTGCTACATACTCAGCATTGAGCAGCCGTGCACATCTGGACAGTTGCAAACGTGCTGCCTGTTTTCTCAGATAGCAGGCGTACATCTACATTTCAGTGGACCCTGCAAACGTGCTAACAGGTTGCTCCATACGCTGCATTGAGCAGCCGTACATTTAATTTCAGCGGACCCTGTTGACTTGGCATTTTGTAATGCGAACTGGTGTCCAGAATGACCATGGGAAACTTTTTGCAACTTCACAATTCCAGGCGAAGCCTTACCACCAATTTACGTTTAGACTATAACGAGGTTGCTCATCAACCCAGTCGGAGTGCAGCATGTACACATACAAGCCTTTCTCCACATCGAGCGTCAGAAGCACGCTTGCTTGCTTCTTGCCTCTGCCAGCCATTCCAATCAGGAGTAACTTCGATTCGAACAAAGCCCTCTCGCCTCACACACACATATTTCAAATCTCGTAGCGGACTAGCAGCGGACACGTAACGACGCAGCGATGTACACGCAGCGATCAGCTGTTGCCATGCGATCGTACGAGTAGTAAACGAGGTCGCGCAGCGTGAGAATCTGGAGCCCGTGTGCGAGCGGCCATGGGAGTGCAGGGCCTGTGGGAGCTGCTGGCGCCGGTGGGCCGACGCGTGTCCGTGGAGGCCCTCGCCAACAAGACGGTAGCTGTCGGTACGTTCCGTAGCGGGCAGATTCGTGCACCGGTAGGACTGCGCAGCCTTACCAACGCACGGATTCGCTGCGCAGCGGTTCGTTCCGCTCGAGCGTGTTAGTGTGTGGTAGGATTGCGCAGTACGGCTCTGGTGAACATTCCCAGCGGCTCGTTCCGTTGTGCGTGACGCACGTTGAATCTTTTCTAGCGCTTCGTTTGTGACTAGAAAGACGGATTTTCTTGTTGTTATCTTGCGTCAACTGTCTGGATCAAATTCGAAAGGCAATGCTGTCGCATTGCTCGTGATTTGTTTTAGCAAAGACGTGAGCGTTTACCGATCAGCTGTATTCCTGATTTAATTCGTTAGACGCAAGCGTTTTTTCAGCATTCCTCTATTACGTTTCGTTGCGAGTTCTTAATCTCAGATTCTTCCAACCCAGTCTGTCCCGCCGTTCCGCGTCACTGGCTGCCAACGGCGCAGTCGCCTGTTCTAACCATGCGCCTTCCCCAATTCCCCCCTCCTGGTGCGGGTCAGACGCGAGCATATGGCTGGTGCAGTTTCTCAAGGCGATGCGCGACGATCGCGGCGAGCTGCTGCCGGGCGCGCACCTGCTGGGCTTCCTGCGGCGCGTGTGCAAGCTGCTCTTCCTGCGCATCCGCCCGCTCATCGTCTTCGACGGCGCCACTCCCGCGCTCAAGCGCCGCACCGTCCTTGCGCGCCGCCGCCAGCGGGAGAACGCGCAGATCAACCTGCGCAGGACGGCGGAGAAGCTGCTGCTCAACCAGGTGCGCGTGGGCAGTGGGGGGTGGGGGGAGGGGGAGAGGGGGAAGAAAGGGAAGGGGGTCGCGGATGACGGGTAGACAGAGAGGCTTTGTTGAATCGGGTAGCGTGGAGGTGGTGCAGTGACTTGCGGTTGTAAGAAGAAACTGAGTTTGGGGTTCACACTGTTTATTTGCGTTGTTCATCTCTTGTCTCTCTCTGCTCCACCATTTCTCTCGGCTCTGTGGTGTTGTGTTGCTGGCAGCTGCGGCTGCGTAAGCTGGAAGAGGCAGCACAGGAGATGCAACAGAGGGGCAGGGGGCGGGCGGTGGGCAGGGGGACAGGAGGGGCGCGGGGAGGGGGCAAGGGGAAGGAGAAGGTGGAAGAGGTGGGGGATGGGAAGCAGGAGGGCGAGGAGCGAGGGAGGCACCGTCCAGAAGTCAAGGCAGCGCAGGACCAGGACGGTTGCAAGGAGGAGGCGAGGAGGGATCAAGAACACGCTGATGCTCTGTATGTCTCAGGCCCGCCTCTGGCTGAGCTTCAAACTCATCCTCGTTTCTTTCTTCTCCTTATTGCTTCCTTACTTCCTTGCTGCACTGCACCTCGCCTCACCGTGCTAAATCTGGCATTATTCCTGTTATGCTCCCCCTGTTGCTGCCAGCCTGGCAGCATCGCTGGCAGCAGAGTGGGGGGGGCAATCCGCGGGCACCTCTGGTGCTGCCCCGAACGTGGCAGGCACCTCCCGTGATGCCGCTGCCGCTGCTGCTGCTGTGGCTTCTGTAGCTGCAGCTACTGCTGGTGGTGCGGGCGGTGGTGAGGCGGCCAGGGGGCCAGTGGAAATGGAGGGGGGTGATGATGGCAGGGACGAGGACAGTGATGAGGATGACTTGACCGAAGAAGCTATGGCGCTCCTGGTGCGTGCCTCATGCTCATATGCCGCTTTCCATTCCTTCCCCTCCATGTATAACTTTCCGCTTTCTGGATTATAATTTTAAGATGCAACTTCCATTTATTTAAAATTAAGTTCTCCCCCTCCCCATGCCCCACATGTTCTGGTGCCACGGCCACCAGCCGGAGGTGGCATCTGGGGGAGGTGCACCCCTGGATCCGGCAGTGCTGGCCTCGCTGCCACCCTCCCTGCAGCTACAACTGATGGTGCAGGTGGGTGTGCGTGCTACAGCCAGCTCATGGTGCAATATGTGTGCTACAGTTGATGGTTTTAAAGTGTGCTACACTACAGTTGATGGTTTTAAAGTGTGCTACATTTGATGGTTTTAAAGTGTGCTACATTTGATGGTTTTAAAGTGTGCTACAGTTGATGGTTTTAAAGTGTGCTACAGTTGATGGTTTTAAAGTGTGCTACAGATGATGGTTTTAAAGTGTGCTACAGTTGATGGTTTTAAAGTGTGCTACAGTTGATGGTTTTAAAGTGTGCTACAGTTGATGGTTTTAAAGTGTGCTACAGATGATGGTTTTAAAGTGTGCTACAGTTGATGGTTTTAAAGTGTGCTACAGTTGATGGTTTTAAAGTGTGCTACAGTTGATGGTTTTAAAGTGTGCTACAGTTGATGGTTTTAAAGTGTGCTACAGTTGATGGTTTTAAAGTGTGCTACAGTTGATGGTTTTAAAGTGTGCTACAGTTGATGGTTTTAAAGTGTGCTACAGTTGATGGTTTTGAAGTGTGCTACAGTTGATGGTTTTAAAGTGTGCTACAGTTGATGGTTTTAAAGTGTGCTACACTACAGCTGATGGTTTTAAAGTGTGCTACAGTTGATGGTTTTAAAGTGTGCTACAGTTGATGGTTTTAGAGTGTGCTACACTACAGTTGATGGTTTTAAAGTGTGCTACAGTTGATGGTTTTAAAGTGTGCTACAGTTGATGGTTTTAAAGTGTGCTACAGTTGATGGTTTTAAAGTGTGCTACACTACAGTTGATGGTTTTCAAGTGTGCTACAGTTGATGGTTTCAAAGTGTGCTACAGTTGATGGTTTTAAAGTGTGCTACAGTTGATGGTTTTAAAGTGTGCTACAGTTGATTGTTTTAAAGTGTGCTACACTACAATTGATGGTTTTAAAGTGTGCTACAGTTGATGGTTTTAAAGTGTGCTACAGTTGATGGTTTTAAAGTGTGCTACAGTTGATGGTTTTAAAGTGTGCTACACTACAGTTGATGGCTTTAAAGTGTGCTACACTACAGTTGATGGTTTCAAAGTGTGCTACAGTTGATGGTTTTAAAGTGTGCTACAGTTGATGGTTTTAATGTGTGCTACAGTTGATGGTTTTAAAGTGTGCTACACTACAGTTGATGGTTTTAAAGTGTGCTACAGTTGATGGTTTTAAAGTGTGCTACAGTTGATGGTTTTAAAGTGTGCTACAGTTGATGGTTTTAAAGTGTGCTACACTACAGTTGATGGTTTTAAAGTGTGCTACATTTGATGGTTTTAAAGTGTGCTACATTTGATGGTTTTAAAGTGTGCTACAGTTGATGGTTTTAAAGTGTGCTACAGTTGATGGTTTTAAAGTGTGCTACAGATGATGGTTTTAAAGTGTGCTACAGTTGATGGTTTTAAAGTGTGCTACAGTTGATGGTTTTAAAGTGTGCTACAGTTGATGGTTTTAAAGTGTGCTACAGATGATGGTTTTAAAGTGTGCTACAGTTGATGGTTTTAAAGTGTGCTACAGTTGATGGTTTTAAAGTGTGCTACACTACAGTTGATGGTTTTAAAGTGTGCTACAGTTGATGGTTTTAAAGTGTGCTACAGTTGATGGTTTTAAAGTGTGCTACAGTTGATGGTTTTAAAGTGTGCTACAGTTGATGGTTTTAAAGTGTGCTACAGTTGATGGTTTTAAAGTGTGCTACAGTTGATGGTTTTAAAGTGTGCTACAGTTGATGGTTTTAAAGTGTGCTACAGTTGATGGTTTTAAAGTGTGCTACAGTTGATGGTTTTAAAGTGTGCTACAGTTGATGGTTTTAAAGTGTGCTACAGTTGATGGTTTTAAAGTGTGCTACAGTTGATGGTTTTAATGTGTGCTACAGTTGATGGTTTTAAAGTGTGCTACGGTTGATGATTTTAAAGTGTGCTACACTATAGCTGATGGTTTTAAAGTGTGCTACAGTTGATGGTTTTAAAGTGTGCTACAGTTGATGGTTTTAGAGTGTGCTACACTACAGTTGATGGTTTTAAAGTGTGCTACAGTTGATGGTTTTAAAGTGTGCTACAGTTGATGGTTTTAAAGTGTGCTACAGTTGATGGTTTTAAAGTGTGCTACACTACAGTTGATGGTTTTAAAGTGTGCTACAGTTGATGGTTTTAAAGTGTGCTACAGTTGATGGTTTTAAAGTGTGCTACAGTTGATGGTTTTAAAGTGTGCTACACTACAGTTGATGGTTTTAAAGTGTGCTACACTACAGTTGATGGTTTCAAAGTGTGCTACAGTTGATGGTTTTAAAGTGTGCTACAGTTGATGGTTTTAATGTGTGCTACAGTTGATGGTTTTAAAGTGTGCTACAGTTGATGGTTTTAAAGTGTGCTACAGTTGATGGTTTTAAAGTGTGCTACAGTTGATGGTTTTAAAGTGTGCTACAGTTGATGGTTTTAAAGTGTGCTACAGTTGATGCTTTTAAAGTGTGCTACAGTTGATGGTTTTAAAGTGTGCTACAGTTGATGGTTTTAAAGTGTGCTACAGTTGATGGTTTTAAAGTGTGCTACAGTTGATGGTTTTAAAGTGTGCTACAGTTGATGGTTTTAAAGTGTGCTACAGTTGATACACTACAGTTGATGGTTTTAAAGTGTGCTACAGTTGATGGTTTTAAAGTGTGCTACAGTTGATGGTTTTAAAGTGTGCTACAGTTGATGGTTTTAAAGTGTGCTACACTACAGTTGATGGTTTTAAAGTGTGCTACAGTTGATGGTTTTAAAGTGTGCTACAGTTGATGGTTTTAAAGTGTGCTACAGTTGATGGTTTTAAAGTGTGCTACAGTTGATGGTTTTAAAGTGTGCTACAGTTGATGGTTTTAAAGTGTGCTACAGTTGATGGTTTTAAAGTGTGCTACAGTTGATGGTTTTAAAGTGTGCTACAGTTGATGATTTTAAAATGTGCTACACTACAGCTGATGGTTTTAAAGTGTGCTACAGTTGATGGTTTTAAAGTGTGCTACAGTTGATGGTTTTAAAGTGTGCTACAGTTGATGGTTTTAAAGTGTGCTACAGTTGATTGTTTTAAAGTGTGCTACACTACAATTGATGGTTTTAAAGTGTGCTACAGTTGATGGTTTTAAAGTGTGCTACAGTTGATGGTTTTAAAGTGTGCTACAGTTGATGGTTTTAAAGTGTGCTACACTACAGTTGATGGCTTTAAAGTGTGCTACAGTTGATGGTTTCAAAGTGTGCTACAGTTGATGGTTTTAAAGTGTGCTACAGTTGATGGTTTTAAAGTGTGCTACAGTTGATGGTTTTAAAGTGTGCTACAGTTGATGGTTTTAAAGTGTGCTACAGTTGATGGTTTTAAAGTGTGCTACACTACAGTTGATGGTTTTAAAGTGTGGTACAGTTGATGGTTTTAAAGTGTGCTAGAGTTGATGGTTTTAAAGTGTGCTACAGTTGATGGTTTTAAAGTGTGCTACAGTTGATGGTTTTAAAGTGTGCTACAGTTGATGGTTTTAAAGTGTGCTACAGTTGATGGTTTTAAAGTGTGCTACAGTTGATGGTTTTAAAGTGTGCTACAGTTGATGGTTTTAAAGTGTGCTACAGTTGATGGTTTTAAAGTGTGCTACAGTTGATGGTTTTAATGTGTGCTACAGTTGATGGTTTTAATGTGTGCTACAGTTGATGGTTTTAAAGTGTGCTACAGTTGATGGTTTTAAAGTGTGCTACAGTTGATGGTTTTAAAGTGTGATACAGTTGATGGTTTCAAAGTGTGCTACAGTTGATGGTTTTAAAGTGTGCTACAGTTGATGGTTTTAAAGTGTGCTACAGTTGATGGTTTTAAAGTGTGCTACAGTTGATGGTTTTAAAGTGTGCAACACTACAGTTGATGGTTTTAAAGTGTGCTACAGTTGATGGTTTTAAAGTGTGCTACACTACAGTTGATGGTTTTAAAGTGTGCTACAGTTGATGGTTTTAAAGTGTGCTACAGTTGATGGTTTTAAAGTGTGCTACAGTTGATGGTTTTAAAGTGTGCTACAGTTGATGGTTTTAATGTGTGCTACAGTTGATGGTTTTAATGTGTGCTACAGTTGATGGTTTTAAAGTGTGCTACAGTTGATGGTTTTAAAGTGTGCTACAGTTGATGGTTTTAAAGTGTGATACAGTTGATGGTTTTAAAGTGTGCTACAGATGATGGTTTTAAAGTGTGCTACAGTTGATGGTTTTAAAGTGTGCTACAGTTGATGGTTTTAAAGTGTGCTACAGTTGATGGTTTTAAAGTGTGCTACAGTTGATGGTTTTAAAGTGTGCTACAGTTGATGGTTTTAAAGTGTGCTACAGTTGATGGTTTTAAAGTGTGCTACAGTTGATGGTTTTAAAGTGTGCTACAGTTGATGGTTTTGAAGTGTGCTACAGTTGATGGTTTTAAAGTATGCTACAGTTGATGGTTTTAAAGTGTGCTACACTACAGCTGATGGTTTTAAAGTGTGCTACAGTTGATGGTTTTAAAGTGTGCTACAGTTGATGGTTTTAGAGTGTGCTACACTACAGTTGATGGTTTTAAAGTGTGCTACAGTTGATGGTTTTAAAGTGTGCTACAGTTGATGGTTTTAAAGTGTGCTACAGTTGATGGTTTTAAAGTGTGCTACACTACAGTTGATGGTTTTCAAGTGTGCTACAGTTGATGGTTTTAAAGTGTGCTACACTACAGTTGATGGTTTTCAAGTGTGCTACAGTTGATGGTTTTAAAGTGTGCTACAGTTGATGGTTTTAAAGTGTGCTACACTACAGTTGATGGTTTTAAAGTGTGCTACAGTTGATGGTTTAAAGTGTGCTACACTACAGTTGATGGTTTTAAAGTGTGCTACAGTTGATGGTTTTAAAGTGTGCTACAGTTGATGGTTTTAAAGTGTGCTACACTACAGTTGATGGTTTTAAAGTGTGCTACAGTTGATGGTTTTAAAGTGTGCTACACTACAGTTGATGGTTTTAAAGTGTGCTACAGTTGATGGTTTTAAAGTGTGATACAGTTGATGGTTTTAAAGTGTGCTACAGTTGATGGTTTTAAAGTGTGCTACAGTTGATGGTTTTGAAGTGTGCTACAGTTGATGGTTTTAAAGTGTGCT